TATACAATTCTTACCACACTCATACATACATATGTTTGTTTTTATTTCCGACATATGCAATTATTTTTCAGTCCGTCATTAAACACCTTGACATTGTAAATATTGTTGGCTTTTACACATATATGAGCACACAATATACACACTTATACATACATACATCAATAACGATTTTACTTAATAACAAAACGTGATATTAGTAAAAAAAAGATAATGGACTCTAAATAATATGCTATTTATTCAGCATAGTTCCACATTGAGTGCTCAACTTGAGAGTCGTGGAAATTAAACCACAGCGCGTACATACATACGTATGTATTTATCTATTGTTTACATTGTATATACGGCAATATACATCTATACAGAGTCTCAATGACGACAAGCGGTTTTCACAACAACGTTCAAGGTACAAGGATATGTGCAAAAGTGATGTCACTATTAACCTCAATGCTTTGTACCGTTAAAGTGATTAGTTTACTCACAATTAATGGTCCCGAATCGACTGAAAGCTTACAGTATATGGCCGAGATATTATTAAAAAATGTACACAGAAATATATACATATATTGTGTGAAAAAGTCATTTGATGGGGGTTGCCATTTGATTGAAATTGTCAATTGAAAAATAAAAAAGTTAATAAAAAAAATATATCATTTTGGGTAATAAACTAAACAGCATGCGAAAAATTACAGTGGAAGAAATTTTGAAGAGGGGAAATCAACTGGCAAATAAGCCACATCGTAAATAACAAATCGCAATAGTATAAACTTTTTTATTTTTTATTTTGCTATTTTAGATGCTTTCCTTTAAATTTTGCAATTTTTTAGAATTTTATCAAAAAAAAAACTGTATGTATTTTTTTAATAATGCCATTTTTTCTGTATTGAATCGGAAGACCATTTATCCAAAGGATAAAATAAACTTTTAGCTTTAAATAACTTTTCATCTAAACATAAAAAATTCTTTTAGCTGTTTGCTGTTGGAAATTGTACTCCACCCTTAATATTTTTCCATTTAATGCGATCGTTGCTAACAAATATGGCATTATTGTCCATTCAGTTTAAATTTCTTCATATTTTTCAAAATTACCGTTATGTAAAAAATTTATGTTTATTTATTTTCTATTTTATATTTATTTATTAAGAAAATTAACTAGTATTGTAGTAGTTGCGCACACATTTCTGCAGATAGGAAATCGAAAATACTTAGATTTTACATGAAGAATCATGAACCTTTAGTACATACATACTCGTATATAAGCAGAAGTTCTAGACGTATATACATTACGACACTTCCCAACAACAGCAGTTTAATATGCATTTCTTTATAAGTAGAATAAATGAAAAAATTCAGCATTCGTCTTCGCATGAATTTGGGTGTGTATGTGTGTGCTGGGCGTATGATGAACATTTTTGGCTATAAATGCAAAACTTTCCATATTTTCTGCACATTTTTATTTACATACCTGAATTGTCTGAGTTTACAGTTTTATTTTTTATTTTTAAATATATCGGTGGTTCCAGCTGTGTTCACTTTTAATTTCAAAATTTCGGTTGACCTCTACCGAAAATAAGGTTTTCTTATTTTTGTTTCACACACCCCAAATTTAACACTTTGCACTTTTATCTACTATATTTATTATACTAATATTAGTTTATTCTAACTGCAGCATATAAATTTTGGTATTCAATAATAATTTAATATATATGTATATGTACATAAACGTTCATATTTCACAATATTCTATATGCAAATAATCAACGATTATCTGTGACGACGAATGAAACCGCTCTCTATGCGCAATCAAATGGTTTTCTGGCCGCCAAAGCGGCAACTGAAAGCTGAAAAATACGTCGCAATGCAATTCTGGGAATTGGCTATTCTTCGAACTTCTATTTACATGCTCAAATGCATAGTTTTACATACATATGTATGTGCATTTATGCATTTATACGCTCAGTTTACATACTCACTTACGTAGATACAGCAGGCATATACATGTAGAAACCATCTGATGCTTTTCTGTTTTTTGTTTCACCGGTTGATTTGTACGAGGTATGCACACATACATACATATGTACATATACTTGCAGTTGTGTATTCAGACTCTCACTTCTATTTTGCAGTTCTCTCTTCGTGTTTGTATTTTATAGAGTAATTTAGCACGTGTACGAGGTTATAATTCTGAGAAATTCAAAATGCACTTGGGCAAAATAAGAGATAAAACTACGACAGAAAGTATTGAAACAGTGTTCGAACTTCAATTTATTCACAACTACTACGGTCTCTGGAGGGGCACTTTTCTACACTGTTGAATGTTCGTGAAAGCGAAGCACCCGGAAATAGTGAATCTAATTCCCCAATCGATCCGTAAATAAAGCGGGAGCGTATGGTTTACTAGAGATGAACTGACAATGTGGATACTTCAGCTTCTTTACGGAATTCGATCGAATGCCTGGAGATTGGAACCTATGCACTTCCAGTCTCCAAAGTATGTGACACCACAAAACGTGCCAATTATTATGGGATATGTATGGGGCCCTCGAAAATTTTGTATGAAAAATTCAAGCCGTCAATTAGACCTTATCAGCGGGCTTTTTGTTCATCTTCTTTCTTATTTGGCACTACATACGCGATTATAGCCAAATCAATTTTCGCGCGCCATTCATTTCTTCTTTTCTATGGAGATATTCCTCTTGACATCGTCTACGCTTCTACGCTATATACGACGGGTATGATAGCCGACTTGTAGAGTTTGGTTTTTGTTCGCCGAGATCGGACTTTCTAGTCTATACTACGCCGCCTCCATTCATGTCATTATACACTCGGAGGGGTTTACATTGCCTGCCGAGTGGCTACCGCAAATATAAAATTTAGCTTAATTTTTTATTAAAACAATTTTTAAATTAGTACCTCCCCAGGATTTGAGCCCGAGCCTTCCGAATAACAGTACGCAAAGCTAACCACTCGGCTACGACGGCCGCCAATTTCCTCTTGCACTAATTCAATACCAGACCCATTCGCTTTTTCATCAAGTCTGGAGAGAGCAGAACACATGATTGTTGAGGCCAACAATATTAATTTCATCGGCGTACGTCAGCAGCGCGTCTTCAGACCTGCCAAATCTGTATTGCACAATGTGTCAATGCTTGAAAAAGACTCATCACACACACACACCTCTTCGTCGATTAAACGGCAAAGATGAGCTGCCGTAATATCGTAATTTGGTATCTCGGCTTGGTATTTAGTGTAGTGTCAGCTGACACTGTCATAAAACATCTGCGCATTCGAGTCATAAAACTCACTTCATCAGGTGAAGAAGGGCCTGGCTTCACTGCCTTCCATGTGACGCTGATCGGCAGAGAAAAAAGGGAACTCCCAATGGCTTTTAACGTTCCATCCTCAAGATACATCTAAGTCAAAATTGCAGTGGCCTCTGCTCGGCAGCTCCTTGTACTCCGCACTGTTTTATGCATCAAGCTAAAATGTATTAAAATGCGACAGATGCCAATAGTAACCAGGCTGGTGCGAATTTCACAAATACTATAACCTAAGCAGCACTTCTTCCACTACTGCACATGGCAACCAGCACAGCGGGATTTCTAAGAAGTACATATCGCTTTCACCCCACTGACATGACGATCGAATTTCCGCGCCTGCTACAACTTAACCGAAAAGGTACAATAACTGCGTGCTTTATCGTCTTATCGAAAGCAAAGTCGACCGCAGAGATGCATCTCATCCTCTCCGCTACTTGGTACGCGATTAATTATTGCTCTGGTACACATGTAACGATAACTGTTTGGTGTTGTGTAGCCTTACCTTTGGGGCTTTAACCTCCCAAATGCAGATGAAGGGATAGATAAACAGGTATAGGTGACCAAGGCTAACCATCGCATCGGACCACATACCGATGGACAAGCCTACCTCCTATACAATCTATGTCAACTTTATTAACGCTTCGGGGGCAGACGTAATAAGTTGAGATCTTCAATTTCGACAGACGCTAGGTTGTTTCTTAAATCAAGTGCTCCAATCTCTCCTCTGGTGCATCCAACCATTGGAACAACTACCAAATTTCTTTCTAACCCACACGTAATGGCTGAAGAAAAATTTCATTTTATCAACGTCGCCCTATATCTCATACAGCTCATCATTCCATCGGCTGCGGTATTAGCCGTTACCAGCTCATAGAGGATCGTAAATCTTACGCAAAAGCTTTCTCTCGAAAACTCCTAACGCCGCATCATCAGATGTTGTCATCGTCCGTACCTCCGCACTATACACCAAGATTTGAACGATAAGCAAATTGTTTGCAAAAGTGATTCTGCGTTGAATTTGCAGGCTGACATAGCTGTTGGTGTTAATACTACTTTCAAGATAGACGAAATAATGACTATCAACAGTGACGTGGGAGCCAAGTCGCAAATGCGATGACTATATGTTTGATGACAGGAGATATTTCATCTTGCCCTCGTTCACTATCCAGTCTAGAGAAAGCCAAAAATGTCACTATCATCAGCGTACGCCAGCAACTGTACACTCTCATAGAAGACTGCACTTTCTCTACTCAGTTCTGCCGCTTTTATTATTCTCTCCAGCTTCGAATTAAAGAAGTCGCATGATAAGGATTCAACTTGTCTAAAGCCTTTTTTTGATATCTAGCGGCTTGGAAAGGTTCTTCCCGATCCTAACGGAATTTTTAGTGTTGCTGTATACGCTTTGCGTGGATACCAAATTCAGACTTAGCGGCGTAAAGGCAGATTCTATTCGTGCTGTGGAAAGCGACTTGAAAAGCGACGAAGAGATAGCGGGCGTCGATACTCTTTTCACGGGTCTTTTCCAATATTTGGCGCATGGTGAATACCTGGTCAATGGTTTGTTGACGATGGGATCCATCTTTCACAAAATACGCTCGACAGGACCTTATAAGCGATTATAAGGCTTGACCCAGGATAATTCGAGCAGACTGTGGGGTTCCCTTGTTGTCAATAGTGAAATGTTTAATCAAGACAAGGCATTCAAAGTTTTATTATGCATAATTTAATACACTACTCTTAACCTAATTCTTGTACATTGGTACCTATGTACGTGTTCATTAAATTTACTTTTGATTAGAGGTATCATACTTAGAAAATACTACTATTTACTATTTACTTAAGACCTACCTAAGAGATTTGAATTTTAAGTTAGTCTTGAATTTATATTAATATTTTTAGTGTTAAAAATAGTTGCATTCTTTGTTAAGTACTACTTCGTTTTTTCTCTTCATTTCGCACAATACTATCTAATACATTTTCCAAATTTTGTGTTGCTGCTGCCAATTCTGTATTATCACTGAAAGAGTCTTCAACGATTTCCTTTACTTTATTCAACAGCACTTTAAAATTCATCATATCAGTGTCGCGTATGTCAACTATTTCAAAACTGCCATCTGATTCCGATCCACTAGGTCTGGATCTAGCTGGTGGTAAAACATCCAAGCAATCTGTGCTGTTAGTATCTGTTATTGGCGCCAAAACAGATGGACTACGCTGATTAAACCACGTACTAAGGTCTTTAATTGAATCGTCAGATTTGTTTGCATTCAAATAGCTACGATTCAAATCTGCTCCATCAACTGTGGGGGAAATTCAGTTGGAATCCGAAAGCACAAATTTTCATAATTAAAAAAAAATTAACTTACTTGAGTGCGTTAAAGTGCTGCCCATAACACTCATGTTATCAGGTGCAACTGCCGCCGTTTCCGTTAGAGTTTTCTCAGTAAGCGATCGATTAGGCGTACTCGATGTCGGATACGAGCTCAAGGACTTTGATATATGCTGCAGATGATTTATATTATTAGCATTATAAATATAGAACGTAATTTTTTTTTGTTACCGAAAACCTTCGCATTTCGCTAATTATGCCAATTAAAAAATTTTGATGTGATTGCAGAAAATTGCTAAGTTCCTCGTGTGTCGACGTTTTGACGAATTTTATTTGTTTTTCAATTTTCCTGAAAGAGCATTGAACTTTTTGGATAAGAAAATAAACTGCGGGTATTTATTAGGGCTTAAATGTAGATAAAACGTCCACAATGTTCACACAGTAGAGGTATAATAGTTTTACTCACGAATTCTGTTGCAAAAGCCGATCGATAATAGATTGCAAATGTTCGGAAACATTTGAAGCAGTCGAGGCACTTGTTGAAAGTCCAGCAATTGAGTCTATGCATTAAGACAAAAGAATGTTTTTCAATTTCAAATAAATTATAATTTAAAATAATAATAAAGTAATAATTAAAAATATTAAAAAGGTAATAAATAAGAAATAACAATAACAATTATTAAAATATTAATATTAATTAAATATATAATATAATTGGCGCTTTGCAATCGCTGGGGTGGTTTTTGACCGAATATTGGTATCAGCCTTGATGATTTACCAACAAATGGAGGGACCGACAGTTTATACTAAGCCGCCTCCGCACCTCTGATGGTTTTTTATGTAGATCCTTTTTGCATGTCATAAATACCTTCAGAAGGTTTGACATTCTCTTTCGAGGAGCGACTGCAATAAGAAAAATTTATTTTCTATAATTTTTGGATGTGGGTCGGGTCAGGTCTCGAACCCTGGTTTTTCGAATGGCGGTAAGCAATGCTAACCACTCGGCTAACAAGGTCGTCGAATAAAATTTAAAAATAATAATAAGCATAACAAAATAAATAACAATAAAATAAAAAGTGAAAATAAATTAATTAAAAGTTATTAAAATTGTAATAACAATTAAAAAAATTACTATAAGTCAAATATTTGCGAAACAAATTTTTATTTAAAAGAAGTGATTACTTTCAACCGCAATATTGGTGGCTTCAATAACGGTGGTCATTGTATCATTGGTTATAGTACGTTCGGGTGTTATTGTTTCCAATTCAGTGCCATCAACGCTGTTCGATTCGTTTGTATTGCAAAAGCTTTTTGACTCTTCACTTCTTTGCCTTATTGTGAAAATATTACAAATGTTTGCAAAAAAATGCGATATTTTTTTTGGCGATACGTCCTAAAAAAAATCACAAAAAATTATTTTTTACTGAAAATAAAGCAAATAAATTTACTTCATACTTCTACCTCATTAAACACCTCAAACATTCGATGACTAGCCACATGTTTTCCTTTTACATATCCTATTGCAAAACAGGAAAAGCAAAGCGACAAATCTTTGCATATCCTGCATTTAAAACGTATACCAATGATTTGTGTATTGCAAGCAGCACAATTGTTGTTATGTACTAGTTTTTCCGTATCTTGTATACGTTTTATAAGATTTATTAGATTAGCGAATATACTAAAACGTGTGCGATTATCACACCATAAATTCTTGAATTGATATTCAGTTAAGCCATACAGATTATGAGACTGTGAAACAAAATAAATAGCCGGTAAGTTAAGTTAAATATATATATATATATATATATATATATGGATATATTTTTATAGATAGATATATACAAATAGATGTATGTATTGCATATTCTTTTTTGTATTTTCTTTTTTATTAATTTTACCTTAGCAAAACACTTCTCCATTATTAATTCTATATTGTGTGGTCCATAACCATTATCTTCTCCCAAGTAGCTAAAAACTTTCGTTAAGATATTAATAAGGTATTTAAAATTTTTCTTTGGAACACATCTTGTCTTTGGATCATGCAGCAAATTGTAAAATTCGGTACTCCAGTCAAAAAATCCAATATGCTTGCAAAGTAACAAAAACATAACTTTTATTTCCAGAACTGAAATGGAATGTCTTCGGTTGCTGAAATTGGAATTTATACTTTGTATTATAACCTATCATAAAACCATGAAACAAATAAATAATTGCTCCTACGGGTCGAATAGATTCCAAAAGAATGTTGCCAGTACACTTGTGGCCGTTTCAATATTATAAGTTGATGATTTACTAAAATGTCCCAAAGTTTCACAAGCATGATATAAGTCATGTATGAATGTGGTCAATTGAAATGGTGGAATCATTAAATTAGCGTCTACATTAAGTATTTTATAACGATCCATTAAAGCTTGTACCAGTTTGTAGGGTATATACGATGCTTAAAGAGAAAGTTATCATTTTAATAGTCAAATATTTATAATCTAAGGAAAACCTTACTAAAAAGTAGTTTTTGCAGGCTTATTACTTTGGCAGCGCAACGATAAACGGTGTATTTATAAGCGGCATGCTCGTCCTGTACAAAGGATATTATACCACAAATTTTGGAATAATCACGCACGCACTGTTGCTTTTGGTCACTACAATGGCCATTTGGTATTTCGTTAACCGACTGCGGCTGCACAAATAATGCTGCTGCGTCCATGGTTGTAAATACTTTTTAACAAATAACACCTTATAATCAATTTAAAACACTTTTTTCGCGGCTAGTAAACGGTTCGAAACAAAATTGTCAAATTTGAAACAAGTGTCAATGCGAAGTTGTCAGCAAATCTCCGACTCGATAGTTGCCACAGTATTCAATGTCGATTGAATAGAAATTTTGTAAAGTAGCACACCCTGTGCTATGGGTTTTATCTGTGAAATCAATGAAATATTTGTCCTAAAATGAATGAAAGATGTTAATGCTATATATTCTACTATCTGAAAAAAGTTCCAGTAAGCTCAATATGGAAAACTCGGTGATGAAGGAAATAAATAATAAAAGAGTATATATTACTAAAATCAAGAAAACAAGGCGGACGACACCCATTTTTTAACGGTCTGTATTCTGCACTTTTTCCGATGAGTGGTTTTAGTGGGGATACAAAGAAGTGGTTAACGAATGCTGCACATACAATTCGTATGTCGGGGTCTAGTCTAGATAGGTAGGAATTAAATCGTGTAACCCGCAAGCATCCCGCATGATATGAAATAGTATCTTTGTATCCCCCTTAAACCACTCATCTCAGCCCCTTCTCGCTCGAATTTTCCATTTAATTCCTATATTTCGAAACTTACTCAACCGCTCTGCAATAAAAATATTTTTGAATGCTCTAAAATTCGTCTCATCTCTCCCAACCTAGGCCGGTAGTCGTTTCTTAGATAAAGAAATTATATATACAAATATGTTTGTCAAAGGGGAATCAACAAATTGAACTCTATGTATATGTATAATTTTAGCACTATGAAAAGCTTTTACCTTTGGAACAAAATTAATAATAAGACAAATTATACTGGCATATTTTTATTACATACATATTAATTAATAATATTATGCTTCCATAAAATTTGTACACCTTTCGTACACTTTATTATATATGTTTCCTTATGATATGACCGACTAGAGCACCTTATATCTGCCTTTATTGAAAACGTGATGAGCAGAACTCAATTTCAAAAGTTCCTCCTTGATAAGTCGTGTAATTTCGCGTTTTGCCTTCTGTACAGACAGTTCACTACAGCTCTCAATAGCCAAGTATAATTTGCGCTCACCTTCAGGTGGATTTTTACCCGGCGGAACATAAGTGCCCCTCACGGTTAGACCAGCTTCAGAGTATTCTGATATTTGAGCCAACGCTTCTTTGGATGTTACTTTCCAACGAGCTTGTTGGGGGAAATCGTTAATTTCCAACTCCTCTTCATATTTTGTAAACGAATTCGGCTGATTGGGCAACAAAGGATTTGCGCCATCTTCATCGTCTTTAGGCTGATAGTTCAATTTATTATTCAGTTTTGCAGCTAGTTGTTCAACCACCGAACGAGCTGTTATCATAGGTTGAGCTGCATTGCCACCTTTCAGTATAGTTTCAGCAGAAACTTGTGGATTCACTTTACCATCTGCGGTTAAGTTCTTTGTAGTACTTATTTTCGACGCAAGGCGTTTCGCCAGTTCTAATTTATCTGATCCGGAAGCCGCAACTGGTACACTAGTCACAGTTGGTGCAGCAGTTGTGCCTGTTGCTGTAACCGTTGTGGCGGCAGTTGGTACCGGTACAGATGTATCTTTCACTGTACGCTTCGCTGCAAATATTTGCTCAATTTGTTGATCAATATCTTGTTCAATATCTTCCTCGTCATCGGAGTCCGCCAAGCCAAGTGCCGCTTTCTGTAATTTTTTATTTTCCTTTGCAGCATTTGCTTCTTGTTCATCGAACTTGAAACCTTTGCCACTAAAGCCACCACCGGTATGTATCTTTTTGCCTTCGGCCTCTTGTCCCGTTTTATAATCAGTCCAAAGTTTTTGTAGATCTTCAGGAACTTTCGCCTCAGATAGTTCAAGTGCACGTATGATATCGCCAGCATAGCGGGCTTGCTCTGCTGTGAGAAAAGTCCATGCGGTACCTTTCTTCCCAGCACGTCCCGTACGACCACACCTGTTTGGGAAAATTTGTTAAATATATGCGTTTGAAATAAATAAAAACTACATTACCTATGAACATAGTCTTCATAGTGATTTGGTACATCATAATTTACCACCAATATTAAATCTTTGACATCTAAGCCACGAGCAGCCACGGAAGTCGCAATCAACAAGCGTACCTTGCCTGATTTGAAGTCCAAAATGGTGGAATCGCGATCGAACTGGTCGATGCCTCCATGTAAGCTCATACATGGATACGAAGCCCTCATAAGATCTCTGAGCAAAATATCTGCATTCTCTTGTTTATCTACGAAAACAATTATGCTGCCTTGTTCCTGATAAACACCGAGGAGCTCAAGCAATTTAAAGAACTTCGCTTCATCCTCCAATATTGCTACATTTTGCTCGACATCTTTACATACCACAGAACGTCCGCCAACAATTACCTCTATAGGCTTCTTCAGTATACGGCGGGCGAGTGCTTCCATTTGTCGCGGAAAAGTTGCGCTAAACATAACCGTTTGTCGATCTGGTCGCACATTGTCGATAATACGCATCACTTGTGGCTCAAAGCCCATATCGAACATACGATCAGCTTCATCTAGCACAATGTAAGTGACCCGACGTAAATTCGTGACGCGTCCAGAGTTGGCAGCCAGCATATCGATCATGCGTCCGGGTGTGCAAACAATTATTTCAGCGCCACGCTTCAATTCCGCTATTTGCTCCGAAATGCCCGTGCCACCGTAAACGCAGACAGGACGTAGACCGATACTTTTCGAAAATTTTCGAATATCCTTGCCAATTTGCATGCACAGTTCACGCGTTGGCGCCATGATTATAGCGATAGCACCGTCACCATCCTCTAATGGCGGCTGATCCAGTATGTGCCTAAACATTGGTAAAATAAATGCGAGCGTTTTGCCACTGCCAGTTTTAGCAATACCTATCAAATCTCGTCCAGACATAATGGCCGGAATCGCCTGACACTGGATTGGAGTTGGTTTCTCAAAGCCGAGTTTTCGTAATATGTCCATTTCTTTCTTGCTCACACCACACTGCGCCCAAGCCTGCATAAAAAAAAACTTTTTTATTTACGAATATATACAATCACCCACAGAAAATTTGGTAAATGAGCTAGCAGTGTAATTTTAAAATATAATTTTCCACGACTAACAACTACAAAACTAATCTCCATGAACACTGCCACAGACAACAACTGGTGCAATAGTACTTTTGCAAATTTCAGTGGACGCGAATTGGTTCAGCTTCTTTTATGCATAAAAAAAACCAATATTCTACTTAAATATAAAAAAAAAAACACTTTACCTTAATTGGTTTTGGACAACCTTTGCCTTTAACTTGTATGCCTTCTAGATCGGTGCGATATTTATCCACTTCCTGATGCGTCATGCGCGCCAACTCGGGTACTTCAACATAAAAATTCTTACGGAACGACGCATAATTCACACCAGAGTGATCAATTTTAGCCAATTCTTTTCGATGTTTATTGGCCAAATTTGCGGCAGTGTCTTTAATGTCCTCCAATTCTTCTTCACTGGAATATTCAAGACTGTCCATATTTTGTTCAATTAGCTCTCCTTTATTTGTCTTTTCTGTACTCTTTTTGGCTACACCTGTGAGTATAACGACACCCTGTTGTTTTTTCGGCTGTGTTACGATGTGATTGACATTGCGTACTTCCTTATCAACCTCTTGCATGTAAGCATCCAATGGATCAATATCATCCTCTTCCTCTATATCAGTTTTGGTAACTTTCTCAGTTTCATTATCATCATCATTATCAAGTTTGGATAACTTTTTTAGTTTTGGTTTCTCATCATTTTCATCCTCATCATCATTTAGCTTTTTTAAACGCTGGAATTTTGGTGGGGGTGAATCAGGCTCCTTTTTAATATCATTTGTAGGAGCTGTTTGATTATTATCTTCCTCTTCAGATTCATCTTCCAAACTCCATTTCTTTGAACTGATAATTGGAATTTGCAGTTGCAAATTTTTTAAATCTTTTTTACTTCCTTCCAACTCTTTAAGTTTACGTTCGGCGCGCCAGCGTTCAATACGCTCCCGCCGTTTTATCATTTCCTGTTCGAGGCGACGCTGCTCTTCTTCTTTGTCTAGTTCTTCTTCTGAAGAACTGCTTGATTCTTCGGTTACAGTTTTTACAATAGGTGGAACTGGGGCACGCCTACTATCAACATCCATTTCACGTTCCTGTTCTCTCTCCTTTTCACGGTCGCGATCCCGTTCCCGATCTCGTTCACGCTCACGTTCACGCTCCCGACCTCGGTCTCTGTCTCTTTCGCGTTCTCTATCCCGCTCTCTTTGTTCACGCTCTCGTTCTCGCTCACGTTCTCTTTCTTTCTCTCTTTCACGATCTAGGAATCTTCTAAAAATTATATACATACATATTGTATTTTAATTAAAATTTGTGGCATACAATTAGTTTGAAAACTTACGATTTGTCACGATCATAATCCTTAGGTATAGATTTAGATCTGGAACGCTTTCGCCGTTTATCATCACGCCTGTTACGGTCAATTTCTCGTTGCTCCCGTTCTCTGTCTTTTTTGCGATCATCACGTCCTCTATTGTTACCATTGTCATTTCGGAATGATTTGCTTTCCTTTGGTGATCTTGAGCGGCTTCTGGAATAACGCCGCTTTTCTCTCTCCCTTTCCTTTTCACGATCGCGGTCACGTTCCCTTTCTCGGTCCCGTTCACGATCACGTTCTCTGTCGCGATCTCGCCTAAAATTCAGTTTTATGAAATGTTTAAACTACTATTATTATGTTACTCACCCAGAATAAAATTTGGACATTTTGATGAAACCACCAAACAAACAGCAGGGACAAAACTCCTGAAACTGCTAATAGCCTCTGCTAATATTCAAATATAAGAGAAGCTATGGATATCAAATATCTTTTTTCCTTATAGTTTGAATATATCCAGTGTACATTAGCACATTTAGAGAATTATTATTTTAATGAATTCTAAGCGTATAAACATAGCTTTTATAAAATAAACCAACAGCAGAAAACCACGATATGCACAAATATGCATCTGATGACAGCTGACAGTTGACTGTGAATGGTTTATTCATCCATCCAACAGTGATGATAAATGTATTTATTAATTGTTATAGACAAAGAACGTATGTTATTTCGATAATTACGCCAAAAATGAATAATATATGAAAGAATTAAATTAAATTTGTTTTGTTATATCTCAATTATAATGACTACCAATAATTTTATCATTTAAAAATTATTAGAAAAATTAGAAATATGTATATAAATAAAAATAAAATAGTAAATTCCAAAAATTAGTAAATTTGCAAATTAATATAAGCAAATAAACAGAAATTGAAATCAGAAAATTCTGATAATACATGTATGCTGTTTACATTTATCTTCAATAGGTTTTTATCATTTTACATTTATTTTGCATGGAAATTCTCATTATTGTACTCATTCTACTATTTTGAGCACAATTCTGCTAGTTCTCTGTTAAAATGTGGTGAACAGGGCTCATCGAAATCTGGGGTGAAATGCATCCATAGAAAACTGGCGTCGACTGCAAGGCGGAACAAAATGACAATCGGCACGCCCTGAACCTTCTCGTTATATTTACGTCACTGACTCTTTAATTTACGCTCTTTCAGAAAAAGCCAATTTACGAGACCGTCATCCGCTTCTTATTCATATACGTTCCTTGTTCTCATACAACTGGGCTTTTTTTTGTTTTGATACCCTTTCAAGTGAAATTTTGATTTCGCTTAAACATATCTCCGCTCCGAACTGCGAATGGTTAGAAGAGGACGCGAAACCCTGAGATTGGACCTTCAATTTGCGCTCTTTCTGAAAAAGCCAATTTACGAGACCGTCATGCCGCTTCTTATTCATTTACGTTCTTTGCTATCATGAAATAATGGCATCACATTTCAACTTTATACTTGCTCCGGCATCACTACCGAATTTTGTGAATCTACAACACTGGAGATCAGCTTTTGTCTTCCTGTCAGTGTGTGTGTGTCAAAATCCCAAAAATCCGACCGACAAATTCCGGAAAGAAAACACAAAAATAAAGTGAAATACTTAAATCTTTAAATTTAGCAGCAGCAGACTTGGCTTGTAAGTTAAATATGTGTTTTCTGCAGTCAGAATAGATGTTTTAGATGCATTGCCGGCAATGTATACTAGTAGATATTGACCGAGTGACGTTGAAGTGATAGATTTGGAATGGACTAGTAGTATAAGAAAGGAAAAGAAAAAAGACAAGTTGGAGGGGGCGGCTGCAAAGATTATGCTGCAAATGAATTTAAATGAAAAGCAAATAGAAGTAATTATAAAACAGAAAAAAGTTATCCACAATTTATTGAACATATTGTAAATATTGCGGAGGGTTGAACAAATTTATGTGTTCAATTGGTCTAACTGTATGTTTCTAATGAGATTTGGTTTATCCAAAATAATAGGTGTTGGCCGCAACCCTAGAGAGTAACATACTGCTTTAAGTTTGCTTTGTCTGGGAAAAGCTCAAGTCAGTTAATAATTTAATTTTCATATCCTATTTTCAATCTCAATACATATATAACAATTGTAGAGTGTAACCTAAATCAAGTACATATATGCTCAAAATTTCGCCTTCAAACTACCACTTGCTTTGGCAAAATGCTACATGCATATAAGCATATACATACATGTGTGTTTAAAACATAATGAATCTGCTCCTAAAACACCCCGATTGCTCGGTTGATATTCTTGAGTTTTGTTTTCGTTGACAAGTTAAACATACACACTTCTATATCAAACATCAATAAAGTTTGTCACGCCGCTTATTCACTTTGAAACCCCTAAAAGGCTTCAAACTGGATTGTATATTGACTAGCTTATGCTTTCAACTTTGACTGCAACTAACTTACAATTTGTTAAATTATACGATAATGTGCAGTTTGGCACTGTAAAACAATAACAACTTAATAAGCCAATAGTAAAGTATTATTGATAAACAATATTCTTACAGATTGAATCGTTGACTGGTATATAATTAAATACCAGCTTCTTGAAATTATGGACAGCAGTGGCGCTGTTGGTAGACGTCGATGCAATTCACGCCTAAATGCCGAGGATCAAGCGCTGGATCAAATTGCCAAAGAGGTGAGTAATATCATTTAGAATTCCTTTATGACTCTGAACATAAATACAGTGTCTTATCTTTGAGAACATGTTTCGAGAAATAAAAAATTAGAAAAGCCCTTACGTGAAACAATAAATCATACTAATCACATATTAATAAAACTAATTGTTTTTTCAACGGATAATATTATTGGTTGAAAATGTAAATGTATGTACATTAATTATACATACAATTGCAGTTGAAGCTTTACAGCTGTTGAAGCGATTTTCGAGGGAAGCCTTCCTTCATTTAACTTGACGTTATTAAATATTTTTCAAACGAATGGAGAGACTTGCATACATTGTTTTCGAAATCAACTCGGATTTTTGTAGCATGTTATTATTACAAGCCAGAAAAATATATAGTGCTAAGGTTCCCGTCAAGCAATGACCGCAATTAGATTTTTTTTCTGTCTTGAACGTTGACTATGATTTGAGTCCACATGGTAGCATGTACACGGCGGTAGCGGGCAAGGTCTTAAAAATGATATGATAAAAAACAACCGCTTATATAGGTAAAAAATTTGTAAAGCATTCATGATTTAAAACGAAATCAGTAGTATACAGAGTGTAATTGATAGTTGGTTCGATAATATTCTCAGATTGTTTCCTTTTGAAAGAAAACCATCAAATCGAAAAAATCTTCAAAAAGTATTTTCGACAATAAAATATAAATTACAATATTTAGTATCATTTTCACTAACCTTTAAAAATCAATGAGTATCATTAGTCATATTGATCTTATGTATTTTTTAATTTTTTTGTTCGTTCTTTTCTATGTATTATGCGATGATCATTTGTGATCATGCTTTTAATTATTCAAATGTACGAGCTTTTGAATAACGAATGTTTCGATATGTTAAATTTGCCTGTTTATGTACATATGTATGCATACATGTGCATATATCGATCTAAGTGAATTAATCTTAATTTTTTCTGTTAGCGTGTATATATTTTTCACTTCGTATAAAACTGAATAGAAAAATAAAGGAGATTTGGTGCAGATGCTGTTAAGCATGATACCAACCCTCTCGAGAAGTTTTTCATATCTACCCACCTAGAAGATTTATATGTATTTACTGCTCATTGTACATAATAAATAAAGGTATATACTTTTTACATACATATGTTTGTATGTATAAACCTTTACTTACATACTTAGATACATATGTCGAATGTTCACTTGGTACGCACTGAAAACGATCAGGTATAAGAATTTTGCAAGCGTTTGTGATAAATAGGGTGACACAAAATCCTATGGAAATATTTGAAAAATAAATACATACATATAGAAGAAGCACAAAATTTTAGTATCGTTTAAGCCTTAAGAAACCGATTCTGCACCGTGAATATATAGATACAACTTGTTTCTCAGTGGAAAAAGAGAAAACATCTGGACTTGATTTTGAAGAACAGTTCTTATTTTCAGAAATATGGATTTTATACAGTATCAGTTGTTGAGAGCATTAAGTACCGCATACAACATGTGACCAACAACCAAAATGTGGAAAATTTCAACCAAATATCAACAGTGTGGCGACGTGTTACTGACAGACATTTAACGCTATCCATTCAGAGTCAATCAAGGCTTTCTTTAACTCACTTCCTTTGAATGGCATTATTGGGAAATGGTCATCACCTATTGTGAAAACCGAGTAATATTTTTGTAATTTTAAGTACGCCTCTACCTTTTTTCGAACCTTTCAAGGGTCTCTCGTCAGATGGCACGCAGGAGAATAACAACAACATTTCGTATCATTTTGCACTGAATATATAATAAGATCTAGCTTGAGGAAGTGCAAATGCACTTGCACCACTAATACCCGGTTAACTATAAAAAGCAATTTACTTCCATAATTTCTCTGAGCGTGTATTGTGACAATACATCAGGATTTAAACTACCCTAATGCTCATGCTTATAACAATATACATGGAAATGCTTACTAAAGTTGCTTAACTAGTGGAGTGATCGTTACTCTCTTCAACGTCAGCTGCTCTTTAGCCATGATTCTTCTTCGCTATCGCAATATCGGTACTTCAATTCGAGCAATTGATCAGCAACCTAATGAGACTCTCTTATATACATAAGTTTTCGCTCTCTCAAATGTGATGGGTATTTTTTTTGTTTTTTTATTTGTTTCTTTCATTTTTTTTACGTCATTTCGCAATCACCGGCTCATATCCATACTACCAACTCTCATATTTGCCGTTTTAAATGTGCCTGGCTTCGTACAGGGAGTTCAGACTCTCCACTCTTTTAGCACCAACCAAGCGAGTCTTCAATCAGTTGTTAGTCGCTGCTGGTGAAGTGAATACGTGCTAACTGTTCTTACTATCCGTGTGTTTTCGTATAAGTAACCGTGGAACAACAAGATTTGCTTATCACATTCCAAGCGACAAAAAAGTGAAAAACAAAAAAACATAAATAAATAAACAAACGAATAAGTTGCGAGCTAATTGAGTAGGGTAATGTTGAAGGTGTTTTTTGTTTTGTTTTTGTAATAAATATTTCTTCAAGTATTATATAAGTAAAAGCTTTTCGGCTGTGAAGTCAGTGCGGCGCGGAAGTGGCCAAGCAAGCTAAATATATAAGTACGAAATTGGGAGCAAAATAAGCAAAAATAATCGAATAAGCTCAAGGGCTAACCAGTTTCAATGTGTTTTTAGAAAGAGCTTAAAATAAGTAAAAATAATAGCGCTAAAATAAAATCTAGCGAAATACAGAAAGTCTCCACACAATGTCAGATACACTAAACAATAATATCCTGTCCAGTGTTGGTAATAGTGGTAAAATTAATGCTAATTGCATTGCTGCAGATGCTTTTTCTGATGAACAAAAAAACCTCAACAACAATAATAGCAAAAAATATACAACAAGTAATAGCACAAATAGAAATGATGAAATCATCGAAGAAGGTTTTGACTACAGCGATACCGACTTGTTAGACGAGTTAAATGCCAGTGACGACAACGACAACGACAACGACAACAGCTGTAAAATAGCCGATGGCGAAAGAATTGTGCACAGTCGTAACGATAACGATCAACACCTTCCCAGCGCTCAAGATATGTTGAATAAGGTAGAGGCAGATGTACCAAATATCACCGGTATATCTTCTCTTCTTGATGACACTGCCACCGACACAAATTCTCATGACAATAAAAGACAATCAAGTGCCGCCGAGAACGTCTTTGTCGACAGCGCTGGTGCGCCAATTATGAGTACTGATAATGCGACAAACACTGCAGTGTGTGGTGATAAGCAAAAACTCACACTGACTAACTTAGTTTTGCGTGCAGAAAACGACGGCAAAAACCATGACTGCGAAACAAGCACAGCTGAAGGTGCTGTTGACTCATACTGTCCCATAACACCAAGACGTATAGTTGATGTGGAATCTCAGCCTACGCCATTGTTGAGGAGCAGTTCGACAAAACGCATTGAAAACAGCAATAAAAATGATGTTGATGCGGCTGATGTTGACAGTACTAGCAAAGATCTTTCTGATGAAGGTTATTATTATGCTGATGAGCCCGAAGATGAATTAATTGTACAGTTCCTGGGAGAAGCCAATCGTATTGTAAGCAAATAATTGCATTGATTACTCCACATACACATTCATGTGAAAATACTCATTTAGGGTAAGAGGGATCTATTGTGAACTCAAAATTATATCTTTACTTACTTATTTGTTGCCGATATGATTAAAATATTTTTTAAAAAGGTAATGATATATAATATATATGTATATAATTGGCGCTTTGTTGCCGCAATTTTGGGTCGAGCTCCTCCCCCAATTTTTGGGTTTGCGTCTTGATGTTTTTTCCAACAAATGGAAGGACCTACAGTTTATACTAAGCCAGCTCTGAACGGCTGATGGTTTTTTATGAGGAGCTTTATTTCATGTCCAAAATACACCCGGAGGGTTGACATTCCCAGCCGATCGACGACCGCAATTGGAAAAAACAACAACAACAATGAAATGATAGATAAGGGTAAACTAGCTCACAATTTTGCCGAAAAAAAACACAGTTAAAGATTTACTATTGAACAGTGACTTTGTGAACGTAGGGAAGTTTTTTGATTTACAGTGAGATAAATAAAGGACTACACCCATGCTGACCAAAAACATCACTATTCGGTGATTTTAGATGATCTCGTTACGCCTGTGCTATGTCAGTTATAGCCCCATTCACGGAAGAAAAATCTTGACTGACCATTTCATTGGCATTATTTTCCTTCTTCGGCGATTTGCTCACACCAATTACGTTACTTTTAATCCGATCTCGACTGCTGAAATAAAGAGGGTACACACGCAATAGATGATAACCTATAAAAAGACGCACACATTGCATTTCAATCTTGAATTAGCATGCTTTACACTCTTATCTTGATCGTACCAGTGGAGATTGGCATACCCAAGCTCACCATGATGACGATAGTTAAAGGGAATTCTCATCATCTCAATACCCGATTTTTACTGTCAGTCTCGTATGAAAAAACACTAAGCTGATCGAGTGAACAAAAGGAATCCCAAGGTCTCTTGGGTAGACTTCCCAACCGATCCAGTTATCTAGTCTTAAACCATCCGTATACAAATTGAATGGAGTTTGCATTTGCTGATAATATCCTATATCATTTATTTCTATTCGGGTAAACTGCCTTGGAATTTGAGGCGAAGTGAATGAAGGTTATGTAACCGTAGATATTAGTATGAATGTAGTATATTATTTCCATTTGGACACCCTTACTACTCTTACCGCAGCACAAACAACGTTAGACAGTCCCAAAATATCAGTGAGGAGTACAGACAAGAGGGCATTCATAGCCACAGTTAGTGAAGTTCCACTGATATACAAAAGTGTAGTTCTATAAAATCAGCACATTATTATTCCGTAGAAAAGTATAGACCTAACAAGTTCCACCTAAAGTCAATGCACTATTTTAGGGGACATGTCCAACATCCCTACTTTTTCAAGAGTAGATGGCGATATAAGCCTTACGCATCCGTCTCTCCAAGTTCTGTGACCAGCTTCATTTTATGTCGGGCAACAAGTTCCGTATTCCATGGATTAGTGCTATCATCATTAACTCAGTTTTCTACCCTCTTTTGCCCGACCTGTATGCTGTCACATAAAGTTTGTGTGAATAGAATAGAAGAGGCTGACCTCTCTTCAATTATTTGAGGACCACAAAAGTGACAATTTTGCGTATTGCTTGAATGAGTAATGTGCCTCGTTGCTGAAGAAATTCTTTTTCATCCACTGCTTGTTTTCCAAGCACCCAATCAACGTATGTACGGCGTTGTGAATGGTTAGCTGACTTCAGTTATTATATGAGCTGGACTTTAAACGGAAGTGCTGTTGGATAGTCCCAACTCTAGAGAACGTCGAGATATATACACATTTGGGAGACATTCCAGTCTTTCAAATTTCCTTATAATTTCACCAATTTCATTTCCATCCATTTCTGTAGTAAGTTTTAACAATTTCAACGAGTTGTTCGGCGTTTATCAATCCATTTTAATAAATGGCTGACACTTAACTTAAACAAAATATGTTTATAATTGCTTTTGCGGCCATGTTATATAAGGTTGTCAAATATCTCCCTTCCGCTTTTTTGCTCTTCATTCAATGCTTTATTAAAAGTGGTACAGTGATCGGATTTAGTTAAAACATCCGCCGTTTTGTTCGATGACCTGTTTCCATCTAGACGGCAACTTCATAATACTTTCCTCGTAGAAGCCCCCCACCTTATTTGCGAAGAATTCGGACAGCCACTTTTCACAAGCCTCTTTTGAGTTCAACTTCACACCACCAAGGACGTTCGCCATGGACAGGAACAGGTACAATCACTTGGCGCTACGTCCGGGCTATATGGTGGATGCGATAAAACCTCCCATCCGAGCTCCCGTAGCTTCTGACGAGTCATCAACGAAGTGTGTGGTCTGGCGTTGTCCTGGTGGAACACTACACCCTTTCTGTTGGCCAATTCTGGACGCTTCTGGTCGATTGCCTGCTTCAAGCGGTCCAGTTGTTCGCAGTAGATGGTAGAATTAAGCGTCTGGCCATATGGGAGCAGCTCATAGTGGATGATTCCCTTCCCATCCCACCAAACACACAGCAAAACCTTCCTGTCCGTCAATCCCGGCTTGGCCACTGTTTGGGACGATTCACCGGCCTTCGACCACGACCGCTTTCGCTTGATATTGTCGTATGTGATCCATTTTTCGTCGCCAGTCACCATCCGCTTCAAGAATGGGTCGAGTTCGTTCCGTTTCAGCAGCATATCGCAGGCGATGGTTCGGTCCAGAAGGTTTTTTTGCGTCAAATTATGCGGCACCCAAACATCAAACTTTTTTTGTATGCAGCATTCTGCAGATGGTTCAAAATGGTTTGGTGACTAACTCCCATCTCCTGGGCGATGTCACGAGATGCCATATGCCGGTCTAACTCGGTGTATTCCATGATTTGATCGGTATTTGTCGTCACAGGTCTTCCGCCGGCTGGCTTATCCATGGTGTCGTTTTCACCGGCTCTGAATCGTCGAAACCATTCCTCTGCGGTTCGAAGTGATAGTGTACCATCCCCCAAAACACCATTAATCTCACGGAACGTTTCTCTAGCGGATTTGCCTTTAACGAAGGAAAACTTTAAAATAGCGCAAATTTCGGTGTTAGTGAACTCCATGTTTACACGTCTATAACTGTTGAACGCAATATCCTGGTCGCCCGAGCATGTCAACAACCGATGAAAACATTGAAGCAACGAAGAAAATGATTTTGGATAATCATCGAATCACTATCAGAGAAGTTGGCAAAGCTTATGCGCCGTTTGCGCGAAGCCTTTCATCAGAAACGCACAAAATTATGGAAAAAACCATGATAACCATAACATGTACATACTCAACCAAGAACATGTCCGAAAGTATGTGATTGCAGAGGTATAGGCTAATAAAACCGAAATCACATATTACACTGGTGTCCTAATGGAATTAAAATATGGTAGAGTACATAGAATACAAAAATGACATTAAGATCGCCAAGCAGGATTTTCAAATCGTGTCAGGAGCAGTGCTCGTAAGTATGCGCTAGACGCTCAAAAGGCATCTTTGGCCGAATCATCCTTCTCTTCCATCGGGGAGTGGGCACAAATCAACGATATATTGAAAAATTTCGCTTTGATGCGAATTGTGGCGAGACGTTCATTCACCGAGGTGAATGCCAGTCCTCTATGACGAAGTCGCTCCGCCACCACGAATCCGACACCAAATTTGCGTCCCCTTTATATGGCCGCTGTAGTAGATGTGACAAGAACCTACTCGCTGTCATCCTTGTCACGCCCATCTTACTTCTTTAGTTTACTGTTTGCGGAGGTCGTCATCGTAAGGATTAGTGTTTATTTATTCTTTAACAATGTTACTTATTAAATATTGGGTTGCGACCAGAATTGGTCAATCATAAAGGTGTCATATTCCACCAGGAACTTTTGATGCGTCCACCATATAGCCCTGACCTTGCACTATCAGACTGCCATTTATTTCGATCTTTGCAGAACTCCTTAAATGGTAAAACTTTCGGCAATGATGAGGCTATAAAATCGCACTCGGTTCAGTTTTTTGCAGATAAAGGCCAGAAGTTCTATGAGCGTGGAATACTAAATTTGCCAGGAAGATGGCAAAAGGTTATCGAACAAAATAGCAATAATATATTTGATTAAAGTTCGTTCTAAGTTTTATTAAAAATGCTTTTACTTTCTTTTAATAAATCCGCAACCCAATAGTATTAAAAAGCAGCCTATAAATCTACATACTTTATATGCGTCATAAACACCAAATATAAAAAGTATTATATGGATAGTTCTCAATTTCAACGGAATAGAATCGGTAAACTAGACAGAGAAGAATAAGCCTAATATATTTAACTACTTATATTAAAAGTAAAAAATAGTATTCTTTGAGATTAGTATATTTTTCGCAGCTGTGCAAACCCTTGTAAGAAAGATCTTTTTTCACCATACTTGCGACACCAGCGACATCTAGTCTGAGCGGTACACCTCGCGATGCAACAGCTGATAGCTTCCATACTCCTCTATAGTCTGGGTCAAACACTAAAAATTGGTAACGAGAAAGCGCAATTTTGACGTTGAGTTTGGAGAGAAAGTTGCGTGCTGGGAAAATTTGAACCAGCAAAAACTAGCAAGTTTGATTAACAGCTGATTTGTGATCATATGACTGAATTTTTGTCAACAATGCAAAAATTAATTGAAATGAAAATAATATTAATTATTTAATATGAATGATAAACCAGCACAATTAATGCCCAATGCCATTTTGTTAAAATAAATTTAAAAACATCAACTATTCAATTAAATAGTCAAGTTTAACGAGGACCTTCAATCAGAATATGGTGGCACAGAGCCCACGTTAGAAATGTTGAAGGTATAGAATTAATATAAATATAATATATTATTATTTTATGTACAACGCTAATTGATTTTGTATACCTTAAATTTAATAGAACGCAAATTAGCCGCAAATCATTACGAAACAACGTTGTTGCTAGATAATGCATTCTTAAGCTTCCAGAAGCGACGACGATGCACAAGAAGAAATATTAGTGACGTTGGGAAGGAAAAATAAAGTTCTTGCTTGGTTTTTATTTATTTTCGATTAATCAAAAAATTGCCAAATTTATAAAAATACTTAAAAGAAAAAGAAAAAAAACTATTTAACTGAACCAATTCAAATGTCAAAAAATAACGTCGAAATAAAAAGTTGTAGCACAACTTGGTGGCTAATTTTTACTGAATCCTGTTCGTTGAAAACTCAGTCAATTTCTTTCTTGACAATCGGTCAAAATTTGTCATGAAATGTTTCCGAAAGACCTGATCGATTGAAAATATTTCAATTTCTGCTTTACCAACACTTCGGTAGCTTTAAAGGACAAGGTGTCAGTGTGTCATTCGCTTTCCCATGGGTATTTTCCAAGTTTAATGCATGGTGAATATCTGATCACTGGTGGATTTACGCGGTCTAAATCTGCATCGATAAACTCGTTTCTCACAATTAACCCTAGATAAGTCCTATGTATTGGGTGTATGCATTAATTCGTGCGGTTTTTTTTTTCGAAAATTAAGACTTTATTGTGAAAAAATGATTTTAATCGTCTGGAAACGGTTGTTGATCAACTCCTAATACTTTTGCAAGTTTTTCTTGCGTCGGGCATGCATCTGCGTGGAGCAATGTCTCCAATTCTTCGTCTTGAAATTTGTGTGGCTGTCCGTCGTCTAAGTCGAAATTGTAACTTTTAACCGTGCAAACCACTTTTGGCACGTTCGTTCGGGTAAAGCATGGTCACCATAAACGTCCAGTAACATACGATGGCTTTCGGTAGCACTTTTCTTCATGTTAAAGTAATGAAGAAAAACTCCCCGCAGAAACACTTTATCTGGTACAAATTTCGACATTTTGAAATGAATGAAACATTATTGTTGTTTACGCTAAATGAAATGACATCTACTGAAATCGAGGCGAATTGACAGTACCTTTGAAATGAATATAGCCAAAGATGAAAACGACGCGAAATAATACTAGTAAAGCCCTCTCTTAGAAACCCGCACGAATTAATCCATTCAATATATATCCGATATGCTTATCCCACAACAATTCCTCGGGCATGCTTCCGTCCAACCAAGTTTGTCAAGTTCCTTGTCGCCGTTGCGCAGATAAACCATCGACTCCCACCGCTTTGTTATTCTTCAGACTATCATCTGTTATTCAAATTTTCCCAAACGTATTGGAAAATCTGCTCTATCGCAATCGATTGAAGATCCGGGCTCGCCATGTCTTGCTGTTTCATTTTCCCTACCAGTCAGCAAGCCGGAACAGATTTCCCTCTATAAATTCAGTCGCTAAATCAACTTTTTGGGTCCGGTATTAAAACCTTCTGTAAGCGCCACATTTTTTTTATAGAATTTAGAGTATTTTCCCAGTCAGACCGCTCCTCAATATATTGGATTGCCCAAAAAGTAATTGCGGATTTTTTAAAAGAAAGTAAATGCATTTTTAATAAAACTTAGAATGAACTTTAATCAAATATATAATTGCCATTTTGTTCGATAACCTTTTGCCATCTTCCTGGCAAATTTAGTATTCCACGCTCATAGAACTTCTGNAAAAGTAACAGCTGATAACTGACAGAAGAAAGAATGCAATTACAGAGTCACAAGCCGTTGAAAAAATTTGTCAACGCCGACTATATGAAAAATCCGCAATTACTTTTTGGGCAACGCAATATTATATTTATGTATAGAGAAAGCAAACATAAAAAGGTAAAAATTGTAAAGTATCTGCATTTGTACACTGATTGGTGTGTGTGTTGCTATGTTAAATTTTGTTTGTTTTGTTTGTTTACATTTTCTTATACTCGGATTGTCAACAAGTACAAATATGCTTAAATTTTTTTCGTCACCCTTCTGCTTGCATTAGATATTAAATTTTAAAAATTTGAAGGATTATATAAAAAGTGACTTAAAAAAGCAAAGAAACTAAAATTTTGATGAGCAAAAATACTTGATTTAATTAAACGCAAAGCTTTACTTTATATTTGCATGCGTACATTTTCATGCTCGGACTGTTGAAAAAGACAGTTAGGGCTTTTCTACGTTTCAGAATGTGTGAATTTGCCAAATGCACAATTACTAGTATTAATTTTATTATTGTCATCAAGCAGGTAATCTCTAAGCAATTGTACATATAGTATTCAAAGCCTTACTCATTTCCTATGATTTCTGTTGATTTTTGGATGAATTGTTCTGCTTACCGATGACGTAATCTTCAATCGAGTGTATTTGCTTAGTGTATAACCGACGTCAAGTATCTTTGCAAAAATACGTGTACATATGTATGTCTGCGAATTCGTGCTTTAATTGAAAAAAGGTGTAAATGGAAGTGTAATGGTAGCACACAACAGCATTAAACATACATATATAACTACGGCCGAGTTGATAACATTTTATTTTGAAATCCGTTATAAACATTTACAGTTCTGTATAAATGCATTCATAAATAATTTTGCATTCAATAATTCGCTTTTTTTCTAATAATCTAATCCTTGTCTAACTGATGCGGTAGTGGGTATCAAAATGACTCATCAGCCAATAATATTTACTAAGTTTTTTTTTTTAATTAACGCTGCCGAAATAACCGAGTGGTCAGCAGAGTATGCTACCATTCGTAATCTTAACTTTCTCGAATCGTGGAAATGTAATTTTTCTAATTGCGGTCGAAACCTCCGAGTGTATTTCTGACATGAAAGACGTATACCAAAAATTGGAGGAGGAGTTCAGCCGAAAATCGCTTCAGGGAATATAAAGAATTAATTAAATGTATGTATATATATTACATAAGTGTAAAATGCTTCTTGAATTTTACGTAATGAACCTGACACAAATAACTTTATCGGGCCAAGGATAACATTTACTTCGTTTCCAAAATTGTTAAATGTCAGACTTATCTAACCCCATTTTCCACTTTTAATGCATCCGATTCAAAATTAAGCGATCCGCTTTAATTGCTGTCTTATAACATAAGTGCATACAATTTCTTGGATCAATTAAAAATGTGCATAATTTAAATATTTATATTATATGTATAAATAAAAGCAAAAACTATTTTTTATCTTTCACTTGCAGGCCGAGGCTCGTTTGGCTGCCCGCCGACAAGCGCGCGCTGAGGCACGTGAAATACGCATGCGAGAATTGGAACGTCAACAAAAAGAACAGGAGCAAAATGCAGATCGTGTTTTTGACATGCACACCTCATCCAGCATTGATCCATTGTCAAGATCGCGACTCGCAACAGGTGTCGGCAGTTCGCCGCTGGGTGCAGTGCTTAACAGCGCACGGGCTAACTCAATGTCGTCGCGGCGCAGCAGTGAGGATTCACTGGAAGAAGAAGGTCGCAGCTTGCGAGACATACGACATGAACTTAAGGTGGAATTCTTTTTAAATTATTTTTTTTTTTTTTTAATATATTAATTGTAAATTTATTACAGGACGTTGAGGACAGATTTCGGAAGGCTATGATCGCCAATGCACAGTTAGACAATGAACGGGCATCACAAACGTATCAGATACAATTGTTGAAGGATAAACTGGAAGAAGTCGAAGAGTCTTATGCCCAACTCCAGCGTGAGTTTAAGGACAAATCACGTGATTGTAATGCGTTGAAAAGAAATTTGGATAAGTTAAATGAAGAGCTTAAATTGGTGCAAGGTCAACTGACTGAACGTGATAAATTAATCGCGGAACAGGGTTTAGTTATTGTGGCCATAGAAAATGAAGAGGGTACTGATGCAAAACGTGCGCTAGTCAGTGTAGAGAATGCTCAGCTGTTAGGTTCAGTGCAAGGCTCATTAGGTGCGTATGATATATAAGCTTCTTAATTTTATCACTATTACTAACTTAAATATTTCTAAAAAAAGATGTGCGACTGAAAAAATTTAGTGAAGAGAAGCAACAACTTTTAGGAGAGGTGCAGAAACTGCAGGAAACCGTTGAAAATTTCAAAAGTCAAGGCAAAGGGCGTTCAAATTCACTCAATGGACCAACCGGTTCTGATGAGGATTATGAAGCACAAAGTACTGCTTGTATAATATTTAATTCAATTCTTTCATTTATTATTAATGTGTTTGAATTATTTAGGGGAGGCGAATAAAATAATATCAGAATACAAGTATAAATTACAGAAAGCTGAACAAGAAATCGCCAGTTTACAAGCGAGCTTAGCACGTTCGGAAACGCAAGTCATACGTTATAAAAGCACCGCGGAGGCAGCGGAAAAAGCAGAAGCTGAACTCAAAATCGAAAGGAGAAAGCTACAAAGAGAAGTAAGTCAAAAACTAACCAAAAAGTATTTAATAGTCGTATGAATTTTACTTTGATATAACATGTAATACATATAAATATATTTTTTTCCAATCTAATCTAGGAATTATTAGTTATACATTTTTGGGATGAGTGTCATTGCCAATAAATAAATATGAGTAAAACGTTTTGATAGTTATCGAAAGCAAAAACCTCAATGCATTGCTACTTAACACGATGCTTAAGAGTTTTCCTAAACAAAAATAAAAATAAATAAATGGCTTACGGTACAAACACTATGATACAAATATATTTGTATATTTGTGATTTCCCATCTTTTGTCTAATAAAGTACTAATTTTACTATATAATGATGCATGAAGTAAATGCTTTGATGAATATATTAAATATGGCAGATAAATTTGTTTAATTAATTATATTTGTTTTAATTTTGTCAGTTAAGATATGTATATACATATGTAACACTTTCTTGAGAACTCATCTATCCTGTGTCTAAATGTAGAAGGCTGAAATTGTGTTAGAAAGGTTATATAATAATTCAGTAATTTTAAAAATATATAAATAGCGTAAAATTTGTGAAATCTAAGCTGTTAACTTGCTCAGCTTTCATATATGTCTATTTTTGGTCTCGAAATTCGTATCCTGCTTCGTTACTTGTTACACTCGACAAGTTGAAACGCATTCACCCAACGCAAAATATTATAAATACTGTAAAAATTTTAATAAATGTATGTGAATTGGCAAATAAATTACTCCCCAATCATGGAAAATTACTAATAAATTACGTATAGAGGCCTCCTACGAAAGCCGATTAGCAATGCGTGCTGCCATTCAGAACGTCAAATTTCAAGATCTGTTCCGACCAACATCCGAAATTATAGAAAATTAAATTAAATTAAAAATTAAGTTAATTTTTCTAAATGCGGCCGCCCATAGACAGGAAATGTCGAACCCTCTGATATATAATATTAATCCTAGTTTTTTAATAGTATTCTTAAATATGTTATAATATTTTTGCATAAATGAAATGAAGTATAAAAAAGATCTGATATGTAACTTCTTTTATTCCGAAAAATCAAATTCTTTTTAAATGAATACATGACATGACCCTTCACTTATACGTCAGATAGTTTTCAGATTAAAAATTGTATTTCTTTGTTTATTGTTATTTCTTTAACTTAATACTTTAACTAACAGCAACATTTTTTGCATTTTCTTTCCTAACCTACAAACATATATATTTATAAACATGTGTATAAACTTTTTTGAATTATTATAATCTAAATCATAATTTTCTCTAGAATCGTGAGGCCATGGAGCGTATGGAGGAGTTAGAAACTTCAAATAATCACCTGCTAAAGCGTTTAGACAAACTAAAGAATGCAAAAAGTGCATTACTTAAAGATCTTTGACCGAAATCGATACATCCAACAACGACCAGAAATAATTTTAGCATTGACAAATGCAAACAAAATGGTGAAACCTTAGCGAGCAGCGAAAACTGCAAACAATAAACCAAACATATACGCCTAAACACGCCTAGTATAACGTAAACAAACAAACAAAAAAAAACAAAATCTGATTACACAATGCAAGGCTTAATTTTACTTTTGTAATGGATGAATCGTTTTCATTTGGCATACCAGTCCATGAGTAGTCAGAAAACATGCATTCAAATGTCGGCTAAAATATTATCAGCGTCATAATCAATTTAATATTTATTAACATACATATATAAATAATAGTTAGAAGCATAAAGCATACAACATCTATACACGTATATTTATAAATATATATTAGGAACATACTTTCAGTAGCCAATAACAAATCACATGTAAAATGTCAAAAAAAAAGTTTTTAAGTTTGCTAAAAAAAATTTAAATAAAATCAATTATTAAAGAATTTTACAATTCATAACTAAAAGTAACTACATTTAAAAGAACAACGTTGTATTCCATTACAACTACAACAAAACATGACAACTGAACTAATCCACGAAAACAAAAGAAGAATAAAAATTGCCTGCGCATAATATCCATATTCTAAATGGCTCGACTTACGCAGTATTATGCATAATTACGTAAATATGTATGTATGTAAATCTAGCATGAATATAAAAGTTAAAAAATTTTCCGCGAAACGAAAAAATTCCAAGCCAAGAAAAGTTTAAAAAATATTTCATTTAATATTTTCTGTTGTATTCATTTGCATAGTTCGCAAAAAATTAAAAAGAGATCTTAAATTGAAATGTATTGTAGGCGTTTTTCTGTTTTGTTTTTGTTAATCTTTTAAAGTTTCACGGTTTTTTAAGTTCGACCTTTTTGCCATTTACATGCGAGCAAATATGAGCATAACTGTGTACTCTTAACAAATTGCGTATTGCATATTTTGAGCACTTTTAAATCCATTGTAATTATAGTTTAATGAGCAGGCAAAAATTATTGTTACTGAGATACGTACTAATCAGCTACTTAGATCTAAATCTTAACAGAAAACTCCATTAAGAGTCTAAATTTATTTATGTCCGTTTCGCTCAAATGGCTTTTGAAAACTGGTATTATGATTTTATTACCATAATTTTAGCGCTTATATATAGATAACTAACGTTTTAGAACTTGTCGTTTGTTAATAGTACACAGATTTTATATATGTTTATAGATGACAAGCAATTGTAAAATCTATAGTAAAAGTTTAAAAACTTGTTATCACACATGCAATACAAACATTGGCAATTGTTTTGCTTTGTTTTCATTAACAAATTAATATCATGCTTAATGTTTAAATACAATAAATGCTTCTTTTACTAAAAAATTTTTGTTTTGATATATTCGTTTTTTAATCTTTGAAGCTTGTCTAAGACAAAAAATACATCTTATAGCTAAAGAATGTAAGGGGTATAAGAAATGTTAAGATTTTATAAAGACTAAAAAATATAAAATTTAGCGTACTTAGAATTTATTGATATGCATGTATTTTACAAAGAACGGTAAATGATGGTAGGATATTGAATTTTTGTAGTCATCAATGAAAAATAAATTACTTTGGGTTACATGCACATACATATTAAAATCTTGCCAAGCGTATTTATACAAACTCTTGGAGAAAAAGTCACCTTTAGAGAAGACACAGCGCCCAGTAAACTCATTTACATAGTTGGTTGAGGTAAATACATACATATGTACATATATACATCGTGTTAGAAATTCAGTGCGTATTGCTAGCTCTATATTGAATATGCTTCGTCCACATTTAACAAGATGTGCTTAAAGGCATGAGATTAATTAATATGGTTCTACTTAATTTAATTCGAAAATTTGTAATATAAAAATATAAGTTATTAAATATTATTTACTTAAAAAAAATAAAATAATTTAATACAATCTTCAATAAATTTTTTTTTTAATTTCTATTGATTTAATACATCGCTTGTAAGTACGTATTGGGGTCGCATTATAGTCTGATCTATAAATTCCATGTTAAACAAAGTTTGGTTTTATGTTCGAATAAGCACATGCTGTAAAAAAAATTGTTTGTGTAAAAAAATTTTTGGTTTGTCATATGTAAATGCAGCTCCAAGTAATAATGAACAAAAATTTATTTTAATTTATTTTAATTTTTGTTATGTGGATTTTTTAAACATAAAATTGTCTCTGTAATACTATTGGTATGTACATCCATATATCTTATAATATGATCAAAACCTTCGCCATTCATTGTTAAAAGTTGCTTATCTTTCATCTTTTTGCGCGCTTTGATCATTAGCTGATTTTAATCTCACCTTTTTTGTTTAATTTTTCTGCAAATTGCAAAGCATTGAAACCCAAAATTTCAAATAAAGTTCAATCATTTCCTGATATATTAAATTTTTAGCTGTTTACCGAAATTTATTTGATTTTCGAATAAATGTATTTATTTGTATACTTTAAAAGTATTTGAAGGAAGGCAAAGTGTAGATAAAGATGATCCAGTGTGCAATGCTGCTTCAAATCCGAGTCCTCAGGTGCCGAACTCAACCCTGGCTCCACGGTTTACTGATGCTGAGTGTTGCCAAAGACAACTTCACCATTCCTCCCACCCACATCTCTCGTGTAGTATCCATTCTGTAGCTCCTAGTAACCCGTGTTGTCTGTTCTCTGTATCAGACCACAGTACGTCGGGAAGTATCCTCCGCAGCGGATAACAGCAGCATCACACAAGACCCACTATACTCAGGCAGGCAAGACTTATACAATTCAACTGCAACCTACTCCAGACGAGATAATCGACTTTATGAGCAGGGAGCACCTGGCGATAACGTGAGCTGGGCCAGTTTCAACACGATTATCGCGAGCGAGACCAGAGTGGTGACTTATCGTTCATACTACATAACACCGCACTATATTCCCTTATCGACGACGACAACGGCCGCATGGATACTTTTCTAGATGGTCATAGGTGCACTACTTTGAGGGTAAAGCCGATTGGTTTTGAGCAATTTTACGGCACACCATGATCTTCGGCATTCTAGCTTGTCAAACGACAGGGGGGGTTAGATGAGTTGGTTTGAGAGGGCATGTGAAGAGGTAGTTAGTGTCGTGCGGAGAATCTCCACATGCAGGGCATGCGTTGGGTATGCGGGGGTCTAGTCTGGATAAGTAGGAGTTTAACCTGCTACAATATCCAGACCTGAGTTGTGTCAGTGAGTTGTGTCAGAGTCACGTGGGTCTCTCGAGTCAGCTCGAGCAGACAACGGTCTGCTATAGGTGGTGGTTTTTCTCCGAGTCCGCCATTCACTTGAAGGGAGTCCTTAAAGGTGTTGACTGACTCCTGGTGAATGACGTTCAGTGCTTGTCGGTACGCCGTCCTGTCCAGCGGTTGTTGTACATGTTAACTTCTAATTTCTCAACTAAGTCGTTGAACTAAAACGAGTCAGTCGAAAGGGTCATGTGCCGGCTCATACAATTGAATGCCCCATGCCCCTGCCACAAATTGGCAGGAAATCGAGAAAAGTTACTATTGGTGGATATGCGGAAGAAGATGAGCGAATACTAATTTTGGATACGGGCTCATCGCACTCCATCATTTGATATGACTTTATCACTAAATAAGGAAGGCCATTGGAGCAAGATTAAGGACGACAACTGGAGGGAACACTCAAGTTGTAGGAGGGGTAACATGTAAAGTCATCATAGAAGTAGACTTTTTGCGGGGGCAAGGTGTTGAGATCGATATGCATAAAAGAATTATGGAGTGTAAAGAAATTGAAGTGTAACTAAGCTTTGGTTATTATGGCTCATACAGCAGTAAGCAAGTAGTCCTAGAAGACAGTGACCAGATTCCACCAAATTCAGAAGCAGTTGTTTGGTCAAATAGAGATTGTGGGACAAATAAATTGTGGCTTTGTTGAAGCAGTACAGTAAAATTTTTCACTGGACGTACTTATTGGCCGGAGATGGACAGACGCAGACGGCTAAGTAAGGACCAAATGCCAGCGGAAATTCCAGTCCGCAATCTAATATTAGTTACATAGTTGAGAATTCCAGAAGTTGTCAAACAATTCCACAATGGTCCCAGTTGAGTTCACCTTGGGACTACGAAAACAGCGGTTTTATCGGGTTAGTTGCCGTCAATCGGTTGAGGAATGAACTGGAAATCCCAAGGAGTATATTGCCGCAAAATCCAGAAGTCGTGGACAGATCCAGCAATATAATTCAGGTGCCCCATATGAACGAGTTGCCATGGATGTAGCTATACCATTCACTATGAGCAGACTAGGAGACAAGCACGTTCTTGTGATCATCGACTACTTTAGCAAATGGCCGGAAGTCTACCAAATTTCAAATGAGGAAGCTACAACTGAGTATGAGCACCGTCAATTGAGTATATAAGAGAGCGGAAAACACAACGTGAAGTCTGTTACTAAGTAAACTCGTTGGTGTCATTGGTACAAATTGAAAAAAGTAGAGTTTGAAAGTTGTAAAATAGCATTCGTGTATGGCAAAGTAAGTTATGGTTTGTTGAGTAATAAATAATGATTAATTGGTAAAAGACACATACTTAAAAGTAGAAAAAATTAAAAAATAAACTGTATAAATGAACGGATTCAGTTTTTTTACTTACTGTCATTTTCCATTGAACAGAGCTAATAATGTTGAAATAACAAATAAGAATACAAATAAAACCTATGGATTGACTCAGCTCTGAAAGGTTCATCTGTCAATTGTGGCGAAGCAAGACTTTAAGCACGACAGGTAGTATACGAATATTTAATCAAAATTTCGCAGACAAGATGTCGTGGTATTGTGCAGTAAAACAGAAATTAAGAGGCAAATATAAGTTTTACATGCGTATATAATACAATATGTCATAGTTTTTCTCCTCTTCATGATAAGATTGTAAGGGTCGAACACCCTTGTATCACGTCATTTTACAAACGGTGAATCCGTAGTTAACGTGTGTATTGCAGTGTCGCTGCCTAAATGGGGAAACTTAAATAATGAAATAATTTAAGCTAATTTTGGTTATGTTGGCAAGACTTTAAAAGCTTTTTAATACACTGAGTTCACTAGCTGCACTGCTCTCACCAATAGAAAGTAATAATGGGTGGTAAAATACCAGCGCAGCAATTCGCAAAACTTTTTGGATGAACACAAATGCCCTTCAACTGACATTGGGTTTAGCCGGCTTGCTATTTCTCTGGTTGCGTTTTACACCGGGTGAATTAGAGTTCTCAGTTGTTTCTCTGCTGGTGAATTGAACGGTAGTTCTTTTCATATCTTATCCAATTGAAGTCAAAAAGCCAAGTGAAAAAGTGAAGATGTCCAAAATCGGTATTAACGGATTCGGTCGCATCGGTCGTCTGGTGTTGCGTGCCGCTGTCGAGAAAGGTGCTCAAGTTGTTGCCGTCAATGATCCCTTCATTGATGTAAACTACATGGTTTACTTGTTCAAATTTGATTCGACCCATGGTCGTTTCAAGGGCACCGTTTCAGCTGATAATGGAGCGCTGGTCGTCAACGGACAGAAAATCACTGTTTTCAGCGAACGTGACCCTGCCAACATCAACTGGGCCAGCGCTGGTGCTGATTATGTCGTCGAATCTACTGGCGTCTTTACAACCATCGACAAGGCTTCTGCTCACTTCAAGGGTGGTGCCAAGAAGGTTATTATCTCGGCACCATCTGCCGATGCACCAATGTTCGTTTGCGGTGTCAACTTGGACGCCTATAAACCAGACATGAAGGTCGTATCTAATGCCTCTTGCACTACCAATTGCTTGGCTCCTTTAGCCAAAGTTATCAATGACAACTTCGGAATTGTAGAAGGCCTAATGACTACTGTTCACGCAACTACTGCCACTCAGAAGACCGTAGATGGTCCCTCAGGAAAACTGTGGCGTGATGGACGTGGTGCCGCCCAAAACATCATTCCCGCTTCAACTGGTGCTGCTAAGGCCGTAGGCAAAGTTATCCCAGAATTGAATGGCAAACTTACTGGCATGGCCTTCCGTGTGCCAACTCCCAATGTCTCAGTTGTCGATTTGACTGTGCGTCTTAACAAGCCAGCTACCTATGATCAAATCAAGCAAAAGGTTAAGGAAGCCGCTGATGGTCCAATGAAGGGTATCTTGGATTACACCGATGAAGAAGTAGTATCTACCGATTTCGTCAGTGACACACATTCATCAGTTTTCGACGCCAAGGCTGGTATTCCCTTGAACGATCAATTCGTGAAATTGATCTCATGGTACGATAACGAGTTCGGCTACTCCAACCGTGTTATCGATCTGATCAAGTACATGCAGAGCAAGGACTAAAGTGGATATGAGCACAATGTAAGACAGAAGAATGTAGCTCGTTTTGGTTTAAAAGAAGTCATATATACATATAATATAGAAGCAGCATTTAATCCGAAAAATCGAGTTATTTTTAAAAACAACATTACTTCTGTAACAATTGAAAATTAATGTAGTATGCATATGTTACAAGCTAATTATCAAAAGATACAACTGAAATTAAATTATCTCTAATAAATGACATGTTAAGTAAAAAGTTCCAATACGATTTTTTCATTTAATAATTGTGAAATACACTGATTGTATTACGATATACATTTTACGTATATTGTTCAGATTATTTTAGTTTAGCACGTAGTTAATATTATGTAATGCACTCGCTATTCACATATGAGTGTATGTACATATCTCCACATATTTATATATGTACATACATACGAGAAAATATAAAGAAAGATAGTATAGAGAAATTCAATGAATCAAGCGGACGATTATTATATCAGCATAAAAGCTCCCGACCATGAGATGAGAGAAATTCGGCACAATAAAAGTAGGGAACATGAGATTGAGGATGTAGAGAGAAACATTTGCTGCTACTAATAAAACGAAGTTACCTCACTCATACGCATACATTTATTCATTCTTATTTCGCTTCTACCAGCTTTTTCCTAAGGCAAATATGTAAGCTTTTTGAGAGTTATACATATATTATCTACAAAAGTATGAAATGATGAATTTGTTGTAATTCTTGTTAAATATATGTCTAAATGCTTATTAAAGTCTTGTAAGTTTTTTACTTTTGATGTTGGTGTTATGTCAAAAAATTTAGCATAAAAATCGTAGAAAGGTGAGTGTATTATTTGTATTGTCCAGCAAATACATACTTATGGGGATGAGAAGTTTTGCCTTCTTTCTTCACCTAAAATCCTTCGATGCGACAAGAAGCCAACTGGTAGCGTCTACGTACAGATATGTTTGAATATAAATGTACATGTATCGCATATACGAGACACCTATTAATAACGGTTCCAATGAATCCCTCTCTCCGTTAGTCCAGGAAATCGGCTACTTTTCTGGGCCTACCGCTAAATAATACCGATTTGCTGCCACAACGCAAAGATAGCTCAAAATTTAATTCCAAAACTTCTTTATTTGCTTTTTACAAAATTAAAACAAATTTCTTATACATATTTTTGATTGTTAAAGACACGCCCGCATTGTTTATCAGTAAATAGGTCACGTAAATAAATATTTGTTTAGAAGCTTGTTATGAAATTGATATATTAACAATTATAGGCAGCTATAATTTTTCAGACGGTTGAACATTGACAAAATAAACAACATAGGAAAGTTTCCAATGCTAATATATTTACCAAGTATAGCATGTAATCATATTTTATATGTAATAAATACACTTCACTACTAATACACTAGAGGAGATGATGGATCGCACATCTTCGATTTATTCACATTTACCTACATACTTATGTATGTAAGTGTAAATATTTATATAATACTTCGTGAAGTTAGTAGCAAAGTAGAGGTCAAATGCAAAGGTCATAGGTACTTTTGAAGCATCTTTGCTCATACTGCTGAAATGAAAGTGCAAGTCAAAGCAAAAAATCAATAAAAACAAAAGTATTACGTATTTACTTAGTTACAAACAAATAAGTAAAATGCACAAATGCCGGCATAATATATACCACAATGTATATACATATATATGTATTGTTAATGCGCATATATACTGTATACATAACGGAAAAATTTTGCGTGACCTTGATATGGTCACACAATTGCGTAGGATATACATATGTATATTTTTAAAAACATGTATTCGATTATGTGACGTATTACCGTCACAAAACCATTTAGGTAAAATTAAACAAATTAGAAAAAAAGAAAGTTTGTTGTGCCTGAAAATAATAAACAGATATGTAGGTCCTTAATTTTGCGTAAAATTTATTTTACATACTTCTTGACGTACTGAATTTCATGTTATAATTTTAATTGCATCATACATTTGAAAATAAAATCAGCCTTTCAACGTATTTCAAAACGTTATTTCATCACCGTTTGAATTTCGTAGATGAATCATCAAATATTTAACCATAAATAATCGTTTGAAAACCTTATATAAGTATATATGTATATAGATATATAATTGGCGCTTTTTGTAACCGCTGAAACCTTATTGCACACTTGAAAATACTTTTCCGTATAAACACTCCAGTCCCCAGTTGCGACAAAGTAAATATTTTCACAGATGTACAAAACAATGTGACCCAAACAAAGTTAAATTTTGCAGTAATTAATTCTTAACAATATGTTTAAAAAGTTTGCCAATAATTTTAAAAAAAGGTTAGTCTAAGAAATATCCTAAGTATATTTCAAGGCTGCCGTGGCCAGGTGGTTAGCATTGCGTGCTGCTATTCGGAAGGCCAAATATATATATACGTGTAATTTTTTAGTTTATATATATCAAAAACTACATTATAACAAAGCTTCTAAATAAAATATTTTTTTGGACAAGATGTATTTGCATATACATACACATGAGCATAGATTAAATAATTGTTTTTATATAACTAACTACAATAAATATAAGTTCAAGATTATTGATTTAAAATTATTTTAATCAGCTAGGTATTCATGACTACATCATCATTATCGTTTGTCTTATTTGAGGAACAATCTCTTATTCGCTCTCCATTTTCATCAAACCTCACATGTAGGCCATGCTTAATAAACCGCCCGGCAGCGGCTTTATCTAATACAGGTCGAATGGTGTTACGTTCATATATTTGTTTGTCCCGAAGTATTGTTTGACGCACTCGTGATAGTTCATTTTTAATGCCGTGCTGGTAATAAGTAGATTCAAATTAACGTAAACACAAGAAAAGTATTATTAATTTTACCTCATTGGGATCATCGCCACGCAATTTCAAATGCATCCAATACAGCGAATTTATGGCATATGCTAAATAATTATCCATTTTTACTCTTTCTTGGGTAGAAAGTTCATCAAAGTCTTTAAATTCAACGGCAGTGGTCAGACTTTTTTCAATCTTGTCCAAAGCGTTCGAAAAGTTGTTCACTGTATTAGTAAAATTTACATCCTTTCTCAATTCACCGAAATCCATCCTTTTATTCAATCAAGTGTCGAAACTCACGAATTAATCGAAATAATTCTTTCCCTAACCAAAAATTTCCTCCTGTTATTATTATTTGAAAACAAAAGGCATTAGGAATGACATGTCATTAAATTAATCGGTTCAAAAACTTTCATTAGGTATAAAACATTACACCATGTTTCCACCGAGCAATTTCTTTCATTACGATTATTTCCCAAATCTTTGAAGCTCGATAATTAATTAAGTGTTGAATAAAAAGTTCCAAAACATGTTTATCAGTTTCTTTAGCACTCAATAAATATGAAGTTTCCAATGTATTTTGTAGTCTTATCGGCATTCGGACGTCCCGCGTTCAAATCATGGTCGACCCACATCCAAACTTGCGGCTTAGAATAAACTGTAGATTGTTGTTACTTAATTTTTTAGAGCGAAATCAGTAATACAAAAGAGATGAAAACTCATAAAAAAAAGCACTTAAAAAACTTTTATTTGAAACCAAACACTATTTCTACATTGAAAATTATTTGATGGATGTCAAACTTGTTTGAATTATAAGCAGAAGAATATAGTAATATAGTTTGATTGAATATGTTAATTGATTTTCTTGTTGAATTTCATATGTTGGCACTTAATATTTTGTTATTATTTTACTAAAAATTTTCATTTAACCTGCGCTTTCAACTGGGACAAAAAAAGTAAACAAGCGGAACGAAAACCTGCCGTGTGAATCGGAAGATTCGCGTTCGTAAAAGCAAAGAACGTATATTAATAAGAAGGGAAAAGAACTGTGAATCAATTAGAAAAATTTTGTTGAGGTGAATAGTGAGCTGCCACAACGAGATTACACCTTCCTTCAAATTTCTCGCGATTTTCGTAGCACAGCGGGGCAATTATGACAGCGAAACGAAATTTCGTACCAAAACAAAAATGAGCCGATTGAGTTGGCAAAGATCGTTTGAATATGCGCGCGAAACGATAGAAATGCATAAAAATATGAAAGCAAGCATACATATATACACTAGACAGAATGGAAATCCTTGTGTCCCCGAGCACGCCTCTACTTCGCTCTTTGTCCATAGCTTGGGATTCGCACTTCATCCCTAAAACCTTGAATTTTTGCATTTTGCCCAGCTGACTGCTTAAATTTACTTGCATCCCAATATGAGCTAATAGGCAAACAGCAAATTTAACAGCACGATGCCGACTTGCTTCAATTCGGCGGACAAAGTCTGAATTTTTGTCAAAGTCGGAAGAATTTGAAGCAATGCTAGTGTATGCCACATACCAATGTATATTGTTGTTGCTTCACATTTCGGGAAGATGTACGATTTGCTAATTTTTAAGTAAGAATATATAAACTATGTAAAAAACTCCATGGAATGTTGAGGTAAATCGGTTTAGTAATGTCTGTCCCTCCGTCTTAATACACGATAGCTCGAGTGAGAACTGAGATTTTTTAAACATATAAATATCAGCCGAATATGTCGCTTCCACTCGAATTTAGTCTTCCTTACAAGGTTGATTTTGTGGCCGTCTCGAGGAAGCAAATGTTGAGACGGGGAAGCGGAGCCGTGTGAGCAGTGGTATTTATGAATGAACACATTGCGTTGTTGCAGGGCGCATGCGTCTATGAATGAAAATTTTGCATTTTTCATGGCTTCATGTATGTATGGGTCTTTCATATACATACAGTCACCTTTGAATGTGTTTGTTTTTGACTTCAGCTCAACTTGAATTTCTGATTTTTGCAAATTTTGCCAACGTCCCGAAGAAGTCGTTCGTGGATGACGGGGTACAAGGGAAGAGAATTTGCAAGTTTTTGTGCATGTGTCTGTTTTTCGTGTACACATTGGTCTCCTTGAATGTATGTGTCTTTAACTTCAGACCAACTTGAATTCTGATTTTTCTGATATTTTGTCATCGTCGCGAAGAAGACGGTTGTGGATGACGGGGTGAAAGAAAGAAGGGCATGCGAGCTATTAAGATTGTGTGCGCTTAACGTAGACATATTAAATTGCTTCAGTGTATGGGTTTTCACTTTGTCGCAAGCTCAACATCAATTTCTGACTTTTGACAAAATTTCTGACCGAAACGGCTTGTTGGTGGAGGGAGCCAGGGGAAAGGGATCTTACCTTTGTGTGTATTTGTAATTTCTACACGTATATGAAACTTTCAATGTATGGGTTTGTGATTTTTTCTCAACTTCAATTTCTGAATTTTTGCAAAATTTGACTTCGACTTCATGAAAATGTTTGTGGATGAAGAGTTGAAGGAAAGAGGGTTTGCATGCAGTACTTGTTTTTGTTGCTTTTATGCTTATTCTACTTTTCTTCATTGAAATCAAATATTCTAGAACACAACATAGGAATGTTTAAACTATTTTATCATCTTACCTTGTAGAAAGGGCATGCGGAAAGGAAAGGAAATTGCTTGCTGGGCAATATGAGCTAACAAGCGAACAGCAAAATTAGTAGCACGATGTCGATTTGCTACATTTCTGCAGGCGATGGTTGAATTTTGTCAGTGCCAAGAATTTGAAGCAATGCTTGTGGACGGTTCATGAACGGGTTGAAGGAAGAAGGGCAGGCTAATGTATGTTGTTGGTGCTTCACTTTCCGCGACCAAATTCACTTCCGATTTTTTGTGTTTTTTGTCAACGCAGCGAAGAAGCAACTTTGAGGGATGGAGTAATTGGTTTTCACGCAAATAATGTGTATATATGTTTTTGCATATGAGTATATGAATATACATACATATGTACATATGAATGCATATATGCAAGTAATTCTTGAGGCAGGTCATTATTTATGTGTCTACAAATTGATTTATAAGTTAATAAGATTATTAATCAAATATCTAATTAATTTATAAAAATACAATTCATGAATAAATGACCTTCCAAATAAAACAACGCTATTGTGGAATGCCGACGGCAAATGTTGTTGTTGTAGCGGTTCGCTAACCCCGCTTAGGCACAGGCTTAATTAGTCTAAGCCGCCGAGGTCATCTAATGGTAGGCCCAGGAAACGAGCTGTTTCGACGGGGTTGGACCAAAGGGAGAGGGGGGTTAGATGAGTAGGTTTGAGGGGGCATGTGAAGAGGTGGTTAGTGTCGTGCGGGGACTCTCCACATGCCGGCCTTACGTTAGGTATGCTGGGGTCTAGTCTGGATAGGTAGGAGTTTAACCTGCTACAATATCCAGACCTGAGTTGTGTCAGGGTCAGGCGGGTCTGTCGAGGCAGCTCGAGCTCGGTGTCGGCTATGGGTGGTGGTATTTCTCCGAGTACGCCATTCACTGGAAGGGAGTCCATGAAAGTGTTAACTGACTCCTGGTGAATGGCGTTCAGTGCTTGTCGATACGCCGTCCTGTCCAGCGGTTGTTGTGTGTGTTGCTAGACCGTGTCCTTAAAGTCTAGTACTCCCTTTCTGATGTGCCTAGGAGGAGGTTCAGCCTCTATTAAATGCCTACTGGGATGCTACCGCAGGGAACTGCTTGTACAGCAAAGCATTATGCTCCTTAACTCGTAGCATAGATGCTTCCCTGTGCAAGTGATGCTCCGGTGACATCAGGAGGTTTCCTGTCGCAGTCCTGAGGGCGGTGTTTTGGCAAGCCTGTAGCTTCATAATCTGCGTCCCGTTCATCCCCGGCGTCCAGATCGGAGCAGCATCGTCACTTGCTATTGCTATTGGATAATATAAATATATATGTATGTATATAAATACAATAATGAAGTTTATGATTTCACCCTATTTCATTTCATTATGAAAATTAATTTATTTCATCAAATAAATATGGAATCAAAATTATTTAAAATAATTTGAAATAACTTCAAACTGAATTCGCATCATTTGCCTACTTGTCATTTTTGTTATCATCGTCGCCGTAAAAATGCCGAGAAAACATAAGAAGACTACCTTCGAGGTGAATTTAATTTGCGAAAGAAGGTCCAAAGCGGACTCACTCCGTCTGTGAAACCTGAGCCACTTCAGTAAACAATTCACAGATCTTTTCCCTTGTTATTAATATACGTTCTTTGACTTAACTGAATAAAAAGCAAAAAATCAAATTTTATATTTCTTTGTTTCGGTACAAGTGCAAAATATGCCACATTACAATTTGTTTTCATCGCCGCCTAAAGCAAACAATCAATGCAAATGGAGCTTATGTTTCTCCATCTACTCACATTCGTCTTCGAAAAATAGTGTGAAGTGGACACGAACTCCTGGGACCGACTCTAACGCGTCTGCACAAAGACCGTATGAGTTCTGTTGCTTCTTATTCATATACGTTCTTTGGTTACTGGCAAAGCTATTGAAGAAAGGAGGGATGACGAAATTTCTCTTTGTTGAAAATTGTTCGAATTTTAAAATTTATGTAAATTCATGGATTGAAAAAAAGTTTTATATCTTTCATTTATATTAATTTTTCATTCAAAAGCTTGCAACGAAAATGAAAATGTATTTACTTACCCGCTCGCTTTGACACCGAAATGAGAAAAACAAAATGAAAAGAAATGGGAGAAAAATGTCAAAAGCAAGGCAAGAAATATTGAAAAGACTTGCCTATACCGAGGTATCTGTACTTAAAAGCAACATTAGACGCGTGTGAAAGAGGACCTAGTAAAGTAATTGAATATTTTTATATAGATGCAGAGTTGAATTTTTTTTTACCTTTATTGAACTAGTTGAATGTAGTTATATTATAAATTAAAAATTTAATTTCAACAATGAAAAAAAATCAAATTTCAAATTTGGTCAAAACAGTAAATATACAATTTTTTTCAGTATGTGTCAAAATACTTTTTAATGATGCGCTTGCGAAACCGCGTCATAACAATGCAACCCTACATTCTATAAATTAGCCAACAATACTTTGCAAACTGCGACATTTTGGACGACAGCCGTTGTTGCTAAGAACTTATGATAAAATAAAGCATCACAAGCCTTAGCGATGAGCAGTTTGCTTTCGTTTGTTCATCAATAGCTTTTCCGATACATATTGGAACATGAAACCATCGTATGGAAAGCGCTATTTTGATTCTAAATCTAAATCATTTTCATTATTTCCCTTTCTTCAACATTTTGTATTTAAAATTCCTTCATTCCATCATGATTTGCTAACAGTTTTTTTGCTCTCCTTTTTGGTATGACATTTCCCTAAGCGTTGATTCTTTCATTGTCTGCGTATTTATTTTACAAATCTTTCATTCCAACGATGTCCGCATCATCTAGTTTGACTGTCAATTTGCAGCAGCCATTATAACTTTATATCTGACAGGCAAACCCCGAGATCGACAGGTAAATGCGAATTGACAGATTTTACAAGATTCCACTTGTAAACCTCTGCGATGCATGAAACATCGTCAAAATTTGCACAGTTGCATTCACGAAAGCGTGACAATGTATGGTTGCTCAGCAAATAACTGAATTTCGGCTTTAGTGTGTTTATAGTAGAATAAACTGGAATAGAAATGTAGAGTGATATGTCATCATGTATAGTAGAGCGAAATTTTATTTATGAGTAACAAAAGTAACAATAAACATTGATAAATTTGTTTTTTTTCATATTTATTCAACAATCCAATGAACAAACTCCAAGGATTTGGGAAAATACTTCGTATCTTTACAATATTGTGATATTATATTTATTTACTTTGAAGAAGGCTATTTAAAATTATTTTGAATGCTCACGTTCCTTCATATTTATTAATTTTTTATTTGTTAAATTAAATCATAATTTATATGTATTAAATAAAATTGTGGAAATATATGACAATAGTCGGATATTGGATACCCTTCGCTTAATATGTGATCAATATTTATTGCAAAAAGTAATTACTGCGAAGAAGGATCTAATCAGGATCTGCTATTTAATCAGCAGGTTTTGTTAGTTTTTGATTTTATTATTTTTTAAAGCTGGAAATCTCTTCTCAACTGGCTTAGCATGTTTTTGTTTTTCATTTTGCTACAAAGATGGGCAGGTAGTATTGAGCTTCAATTGATTTATTACAGTGATTAAGAATTTTCACAATGTATACATAGAAGTTACTTGGTTACAGGTAAAAGATTAAAAGAACAACACATATTAAACCAAATTTAAGACATTGCTCCACTGAACGTCAACTTGTTTGGAACAAAGAGATAAAGTTGCGACCTGTACACACAGCCTAACCACGCAAATACAGAATGTGTTCTTCTTCTTTTTTTAGGTGGCCTGGTTCTTTTCTAGTATACATAAAATATTTTTCAATTTGCGGACGCAATCTGAAAGGTTAAATTTGTTAGATACATACTTCGTAGCAAGCTGGTTATAGTCGTGCATAAATACAGAAATATAAAAATGGCTAATAATTATAGTGAAGATCATGTTGCCCAAAAAGAAGATTATGACGGCCCACGCATCAACGGTGTTGCTCAGAAATTTTTGGCTGATTTAAACGAGGAGCGTGAACGTTTAGGCAATGATTTCCCATTATGTCTTCAAGTCATCGATGATGGTAATATATTTTAGACTTCAAAATTTATGGCTATAGAAATTTTTACGTTATATATATTTAATAATTTTCATTTCAGCTGTTGAGCGTGTTTACATGACAGGACGCATACCAGGCACTGAATATCTCGCTGACGTGTATAAGCAAAAACCTATGAAGATAACTCAAAAAGTATTTGTTCCTGTTAAACAATACCCTAAGGTAAGACGTTCTAATATATATATACGAAATGTTTTTCCAAAGTTACTATTAGTATTAAGTGTAACATCTTTTTGAATTGGCTTCCTTTGTCCGCGGCCGGGACAACACCGGCTTCGCCTTACGCAGTAATTTTAAGCAATTACTTCGGTAAATTGGCAGCCTCCGGTCACGCTTGAGAAAAAACCTAGGCCGGGTTAACTCTGGCTTTGCTTTACACAGTATTTGAAAGTGAAGCACTTTCATAAAATCGTCGGCGAACCTTGTACAGTATATCACGAAATTCCTGCTATGAATTAAAAAAGCTTCATTTAAAAAATTTAAAAAAAAACCTTTATAGTACTTTACTTTAATTTCTTACCGAATGACAATACCCACTAATCGCCATTATCGACAATTTCTCTTGCAAATGGTTTCGAAAAAATAAGCTATAATAAAATTGTGCGACCTGTTCAATACAATAAACTTAAAATAGAACAATCTTTGTTATCGCATGAGAACAGCTTAAAGTTACTTTATTACAACATGTGTTTGTCATAGGGACACGTGCTAAGTAACAATTAACAATATTGAAGCGTTAAATATAGGAAGTGAACATAAATTAGATCTGCAGCAGGATAGGTCAATTAATTTGTCTGAAACATTTGTCCATTAAAGCAATGCTCAGCCATCTGCTCATTCCTATAATAATTTTTTTTCTTTCCTCAGTTTAACTTTACAGGAAAATTGTTAGGACCAAAAGGTAATTCCTTACGTCGTTTGCATGAAGAGACCCAGTGTAAGATCATTATAAAAGGGCGTGGATCAATGCGTGATCGTAATAAGGAAGAAGAGTTGAGACAATCCAGCGACCCCCAACACGCCCATTTGAACAGGGATTTGTTTATAGAAATAAGTACAGTGGCAACTCCTGCCGAGGCACATGCTCGAATTGCCTATGCTTTGGCTGAAATACGTAAATATCTCATCCCTGATAAGAACGATGACGTATCTCAGGAGCAACTCCGAGAACTTATGGAAATTGATCCCAAGACAGCTGCTACTTATTCGAAGTTAGTATTTTCGACACTATCAGCAAGTAATATATACTGATAATCTCTTATAATTTTTTTATACAGAACCGTACTCACAAAGTTTTCAAATGGTAATGGAGCTTCTAAGTTTTTAAATCTTATTAAACAGAATGTTTCTATGGATGAAGAGGAAGGGTACGTAAAACTATAACCTAAAATTATACTGTACATAACTTCTAACAATAAATACATGCTAACAATTTGGTGGTTGCAGAGGCGAGGGCATATATGAAGAAATGGTTGAATACGAACAGCGTGTACCAAAGCGAACTACTGCTTCGCCATATATAAAAGGTAAGTTACCCTTAAAAACCTCACATTAAGTACATAGAAGCTAACGGGGGAAAAATGACAAAAATTCGTTGTTCAAAAAAAAAAAAAACTAATCTTTTGAACTCATTAATACAAATAAACCATAAAAAATATTACTACTTGTCTTGGGCATAATTAACATATCATTATATAGTAAGGAATGAATCTATAAAATAATATTACTTCTTATAACAATATATTGAATAATATAAAATAACAGTTAATAAATTACTAAGCAAAAGTTATCCTATCAACAGTGCCCATAAAAAGACAACCGACTTCTAATGTTATTGGATCTGGATTTAAGCGTACACGTGAGACTGCAGTTAAACCGTATAAACCAATATATCAAAGTGTTCTTAAGAAATACAAATGAACTCTTCACTTATAAATTATCTTTCACATAATATACATATTCGCATATATATAAATATATAATATGATATACGATATTCAATACAATGGAATAAATAACAATATATTAATATTAAAATTGTGTCAATGAACTACTAATTTAAAAAAAAAAATCAATGAAGGTACATATTTACAAATTATTTATAAAAGTTTATAATTTTAGATTCATATAAAAATTATTATGAAAAACAGTTTCAATAACATAAAATATATATAATTTAAAATTAAAAAGTTATAAAAACATTTGATAACTTTTTTCAATGCCTAAATAGCATTTCATGTATATGGAATAACATGTTTAGATTCGAATTATGTAAGTATTAGAAGAAGGCAAAAATCGTTTACAACTTTAACAGCGTCTTCAAATTCGCCCTTGTATTGAGGGTATGCATTAATTCGTGGGTTTTCTAAGAGTGGGCTCTACTAGTATTATTTCGCGTCGGGTTCATCTGTGGCTAGATTCATTTCAAAGGTACTGTCAATTCGCCTCGATTTCAGTAGTTGTCATGTGTTATAGCGTGAACAACAACTTGTTTCATTCATTTGCAAATGTCGATATTTGTACCAGATAAAGTGCTTTTGCGGGGAGTTCTTCATTACTTTTACATGAAGAAAAGTGCTACCGAAGGCCATCGTATGTTACTGGGCGTTTATGGTGACCATGATTTACTCGAATGAACGTTTAAAAAGTGGTTTGCACGGTTTAAAAGTTACAATTTCGACTTAGACAACGGACAGCCAAAAAAATTTCAAGACGAAGAATTGGAGACATTGTTCGACACAGATGCATGCCCGACGCAACAAGAACATGCAAAAGTATTAGGAGTTGTACAAACAACCAGATGATTAATATCAGTTTTTACAATAAAGTCTGAATTTAAAAAAAAAAAAAAACCGCACGAGTTAATGCATACACCCAATATCTAGTCAACTAGTCGAGAAGTATTTTTGTAACGTATAACTGTGTGCGTGGTAATAGCAGTGGCTAAAGGAAATTTAAGTATTGATTTTCTTAAATTTAAATTATACTAGTAATTTAAATTTCCCAATGCCAGAATGTGGGTCCGAATACTACCACTCTGAATTTAAATTAATTTTTGATGTAGTTACCTCATCCATTAAATTCCGTTACTTTTTTTGTTACGTGGTACTCTTTTACTGTGATTTAAAGTAGCAAATTTCGTCCAATTTTTCTTCTAATTGTTATTGAGAAGAACGATAAAAAAATTGATGATGAAAATGTATGGTAATGCCTCGAAGTAAACCAAACGTACCATTGTGATATATTATTATTTACACCGAATGTAGCGTATAAGTTTGTTATCCGCAGCCGCAGAATAATACCCGCATGATCTATTCTTATTTCCAAATCATAATAATTTTTGTCAAAATATATCGGTGATCCCTTTCTCGTAAAGAAAGAATTATTTGTATTTGCAAATCGAACTTGGTTGTTCGAGATCTCGGGTGTATTTTCAGGAAAAAAAATATTCCATTATATTTCATATATGTATATTTTTTCAAATAGATCGCTGCACTTCCCAAGTAATTTCAAGTAAAAAACTATAAAAACTTTTTTTTTTTGCAAAAACCTATTTATATACCGAATTTCACGTAAATCGAAACAAATACAACTATTTCAATAGCCCCGCTAAGGGACAAGCTAGTTACCGAGGTCACATAACGAAGGTTAGATTCGTCCGTTTTTAGGATACATGTAAAGAGGTTGTTAGTGTCGTGCGGGTCTTATTGCATTAATTTTACTTACTAAAGTAAAAAATACGTTAGGATGCATTTTTTATGTGTAAGAATTATGGAAAATATTGATAAGGGGTATGACAGAAACAGATTGTTGTCGGAATCGGTATTAAAACTGACAAATTCTGTTGAAGGGGTTACACATTCCGATTATTTATTTGCATATCGGTTTCATTTTCGAAATAGAAATTGTGTAAATTTTAGGTTTTAGAGAAACCGATCTATTGGTTTAAATGTCAGAATTAAACCGATCAGTCAGGAAGCATATTATATATTTAGTTTTGAGTATTGGATGGCCGGCTTTGAGATTTTCTGTAACTTCTGTTGTCAATTTTGAGCAAAATAAAAAGAGCACCCCATAGGAGATGTGTTCGTAGAAGACGCTTCGGATCCATCCGTGCAACGAAGCTTCAAGTCGGTTGATTTGAAGGGGGGTAGTAACTTTTACGAAGCGAAGCCCAGGTCCCGATAAAATGTTTCTTAATGGGGATATCGGGCACGATTATAGCGGCGATCAGCATAGTAATAAGGTGCAGCAAGAATCTTTATGTGATTCTTAGATTGTAGATTTTGTTAGGTTTACCAGTAAAGTCAAGCCAATGAGAGGACTGCGCTTACAAAATTTAAAATTTAAAGGACAACTTTTCATTTCCTTAGCTGTCTTAAAATGACGTGGGCTCCGATTATATAGAAGGGCTTTGAAACATCAAGGGAGATGTTTACGCGAAGAACGTAAATCCTTGCATAACTTTGGGCGCTGGTTAATTGCTTCCTGTTTTTTGGGTTTTTGCTTTCTAGCATATATGAATGAATGATTTTGCTTTATCCGAATATAAGCAAAACCTATGTTAAAATCAGCTGTAAACACACTTGTGCAAAAAAATAAATTGCAATTCAATATAAGTTTTTGTACTGGCTTTAACGTATTTTTAATTAATTAATTGGTGTTGGAGTTTAACCTGCTATAATATCTTTTGATCTGCGTATTACGTGGGACTCTCGAGGTAGCTTGAACTTTTCGTCCGCTATTGGTGGTGGTTTGACTCCCTAGAACGTTATTCACAGCGAGAGAGTTCATGACGGTGTGAACTGACTCCGGCTGAATGGTGTTAGGTGTTTGTCTGTGCGCCGTCCTGTTCTGCAGTTGTTGCATATGTTGCTGAATGCACTTCTTCTAGTCAGTCAAGTGCTTTTTTTCTGATCCGCCTTGGCGGAAGCTCGGCTTTTCTAATAAATGTATGCTGAGATGCTTCCGAAAGGAACTCGTAGCATAGATGCTCCGCTATGCAAGTAATGCTTTGGTGGCATCAGAAGGAGGTTTCCTGTTAAGATGTCGAGGGAGGTGTTTTGGCAGGCTTGTAACTTCTTTAACTGATTCTCGTTTGTCCCCGGTGCCCATATCGGTGCAGCGTGGTTTATGACCGCTTTGTACGTTGCCAGCAAAGCTTATTTTCCTTTTCTCCAACTGCTGCATTCTACCGCTTTTGGGATTTTAAGGGGCCCAGGTTTTGTGACGTGAAGGACTGCAAGGTCTCAAATGTTACTCCCATTAACTTGGGTTGTTCATAGTCAGAATTTTCACGCCACCGACTTTCAAATCGATATTTCGAGTCTGTACTCCTTCGCTGAGTTGGTGAATAGGGTACTTGTGGATTTTGGGGGTTGCAGTCTTAATTGTTTTACCGGTCGTCGAGCTAGCAGTTTACTTTCGTACATAAGTCATCAATATTCAGGGAGATCAGGGAAACCCTTTCTGGTAAAGCAGTGAGCTTCGACATGTAGAAGTTAAAAATAATGACGAGAGGACACCACTCTGCAAAGCCCCAGATATAATCTTTCTGAATGCTGATTCACAAAAAATGTCTTAACTCACTGCACAATTTTTCACCGCTTCGAATTTTTATACACGATTTTTTCACAAGATGGGATCGACCACTCACCACTATTTAGCAGATAAAGAAAATATACGATAATCGGTTTCTATATTCAATATTCGCTCGTGATTATTGATTTCATATTTAATTTTAATCTTTGTTTTAATTTAAGTGGTACGAATTTTGGGTATCTTCGGTGCATTATGGATTTCAAAATACTGAAAGATATCCTTATCCTTAGTCATATAAAATATTATTATTATTTTTAATTTTTATTGTTTTCCCATAGCTTAATTAAAAAAATCACAATTTATTTCCTGCTATATTCTTTTAGATAAAAGCCGATATAACAAAGCAGTAAACTTCATGTTGTAAAAGATTTTAAAAACTCGAAATAATTCACTAACCTTTGAAATATACTTGTTATCTCCTTTATTTAAATTTAATATAGCAATCAGTCCACCATTATATATCAGGAGCCATCTAGTCTCATTATGGATGCTTCCTTATCCTCAGTTAAACCCTGGTTGAACGGCTCTACTACCATCAGTACAATCAGGTACGTATTTGAGTGAATAACGGATTTACAGATAAATCATTTCGTCGGAATTGAGATCGAGAGCAATTACAACGTAAACATGGAAGTTTCGTTCTTTAATTTGGTGAATATGTTATTGCAATTCGTTGTGTATTACTTTTCAAGAATTATTAAATAAATAAAATAAAAAACTGAGATAATTTTTTATACATATCAATTGGAAAATGATTCAATGGTGGGAATAAAATCATATAAATGGTGTGCCGCTGGAAAGATTTTAATTAGTCATAAGATTATACAATAGTTGGTTCAGAAGCGAGCTAGATTGTATGTATGCGCTTGGCTACATGTTAGAAATATTAAATTTTTGTTAGTAGTTCGGCCGGTAATTCATGGGTTTCCACCGCTTTGTTGTTTTTTAAGCGGACGATTGCTATTCGAACTTCTTCACATTCGAGTAATGGAACAACTTTTGCAACAACAATTGCGTCTTCAATTGGAGTTTCGGGTTCACCCTATCGGGGTGTTTCATATTCACTGCAATTCAGCTGGCTGGAGAAGTGTTCTCTTCTAGATTCAGTATACTCTGAGCAGTATACAACTTTCAAGACAGCCGGTTGTGCGTACCGGAATTGACTCAGATTTTATCCGGCTGGCCAAGGGCAGTCACGCTTTCGGCGACATAACCCCGTTTAGGCCAAAAGGCAACATTAAGTTCGGCAACGAAGCCACATCTCGCAGCTAGGTGGCTCCAAGTCCTTATCAGCGCTGGCGTCGAAACCAACCCTGGTCCGACGGATTGCTTCTGCTGCGTGTGCCCAGAACAGATTCCACCACTGTTGTTGTTGTTGTAACCGCAAAATTATTCCCCAAAGTACTTTTTGGGGAATGTTGCGGGAGTGACAGCCCTTGGCCGGATAAAAATCCGGGTCGTTCCGGTATAAAGACCCGACCGGTGCAAAGTTGCAAGAGCTACTCAGGCCTTAAGACCCATAGGCATAATCAGGGAGTTAAACGCGGAGATTCGCAGAGTTGTTAACAGCCATAAGCGGAAAAAGTGGGAGGAACACTTAAGGACCTGTAACCTCTCCTCTGGGGCAACCAAGCGCTGAGCTACAGTCAAGTCCTTGTCTAACCCGACGAGACGCAATGACCGGGTGCAAATTTCATTCGGTGATCGCGCTTTGTCGGACCCGAAGAAATGAGCGAGCTATTTTAGCCGACTTTTTACACTGCATCCTTCGGTAGACAAAACGACGCGACGTGTAACACGCTGTATGCACAAACTGCCAAACACCAGCGTGGTGCTTGACTTCTCCAGGAAAGAGGTTCAGGGGGTCATCGGGAAGGCGGAAGCCTCCGAATCCATCGGCCCCAACGGAATAAGCATGCTGATTCTAGAGCATCTCGTACCAGCGGGAGCAAAATTTCTCACCAAGGCCTTTAACTTATCTTTGACCATCCTAATGATACCTGACGTGTCTAAAACGGGCTGAGTGGGTACTCTAATCAAACCGGGAAAATCAGCCAACAAAGGAGTCTTTTCGGCCGATAACTCTTCTCTCTCCAGTAACGAAGATACCTTCTGCGTCCAGCAGCACATCAGCATGGCTTCCGAAAATTACACAGCACCACAACAGCACTAAACGCCCAGATAGTCAATGACCTTAACCAAAACCAACCCTGCGCGCAAACTGTCCTAGTAGCACTGGATCTCATTACCTCCGGGATTATAGAGGTCGGTCATGGGCTACCTGAGTGGTCGACAATCATCGGTAATATTCTGTGGTGTAACATCCAAACCTAGAAAAATTTAACGAGGGGTCCCGCAGGATGGCCCTTCCCGCTACTGTTTAATTTTTACATTTCGAAACTCCCTCCTCCACCAGAAGGAGTTTCCTTAACCTCGTATGCCGATGATTGCATGACAAATTTGTCTGGTCAGGATATTGATAACCTCTGTTCGATAGTGAACTGCTACCTTGATGATCCTTCTCATTTCTTCACTGCTTGACAATTGAAAATAGAGCCGACCAAATTTTCGGCTGCCCTCTCCACCAGCTGCAAGAAAATGCTCAAAGCGCTAGTCGGCAGCACCTAGCGTAAAGACAAGGAAACTTTGCTGGCAACTTACATAGCAATTGGTCGGCCGGCCGTAAACTATGCTGCGCCGATTTGTGCGCCGGGGAAGAATGAGACGCAGATGAAGAAGCTACAGGATTGTCTGAGCACCGCCCTCAGGACTGTGAGCATCACTTGCACGTGAAGCATCTATGCCACGAGTTAAGGAGTATAATGTTTTGCTGTGCAAGCAGTTCCTATTGGGTGCTCCCTGCGGAGTACAGACAGTCACTGAACGCCATTCACCAGGAGTCAGTCAACAACTTCAACGACTCCCTACCAATTAATGGTGTGCCCGGAGTAAAACCACCACCCATTGCAGACAACGAGCTCGAGAGACCTGCAGGACCTTGGCAGTAGTAGGTTAAACTCTTACTTATCCAGACTCGACCCCAGCATATCCAACGTATGCCCTGCATGTTGAAAGTCTCCACACGACACTAACTACCTCTTCATATCTACTCGTTTCCCGCACCTTCCACTAGATGACCTCGAACTTAGATTAATCAAGCCTGTACCTAAGCGGGGTTAGCGCACCGCTAAAACAACAACAAGAACATTCTGAGCATCCGTTACTTAAGCACCGCTCTTGGTCCAACAAGAGCTTTCTCCGGTCTTGAAACCTTCCGTAAGGCGCGTATCTTTTCGTAGAACTTTCGAGCATTACCTTTGCCGGCCTGCTTTTTAACCTCTTCATACTGACGCATCTCAGACTCTTCATTTCTTTTCTGCAAATGCGTCTTACTTTCGTCTTCAGCTCCCGGTATCTATCATACCCAGCACGTGTTGTTGTCGATGGCAAGGTTGCGAGGTAGGCAGTCTGTTTTCTCTCCGCTGTACTTCGACATTCTTCATCGTACCTGTTGTTTTTCTGACACTGCCGAAAATGTATTGTTTCCGCATCGACGGTACATAGGGAGTGTGAGATGCTGGTCCACAGCTCCTTTATATGGCCGCTTTGTCCCGTCTATCGCACTTCTTTGACTACGGTGATGTCAGCCATTAATTTTAATAATACATCAACTAGCTGGGCCCGCTGCCAATTAAGGGACCGGACATTCCAGTTGCATATTCCAAATCGTAATCCTTAAAACATTAGCGGTGGTCGTCAAAAGGGAGTCTCTCATCCGAGGCTTATTTGAATATTCCATTGGATTTTGTTTTTCATGTGGTGGAACACCCACCCACAACAGAGTCAGCTAAGAAATCCAGGGCCTGCTGATACTTCCAACCTGCCTCTAATTCTGTAAAATTTTTCTCCCTTGACTTCTTTTACTGAAAAATATATACAAACTTAAAATTAGTAAACGTACATACATTTGATGAACTTGTTTTACTCACCCGGGCTAATCAGCTCGGTGCTAATTTCTTCCCATAACTACAATATTTATATGTGCATGTAAATATATATGCTTGTACGTATATGTATCTAATAATTAATTTTCCTGATAATGGAGTTTGCGAATGGAGTTGATTAATGCAAGAAATATTAGAATGGGTTGAAGAAGCCGATGGGATTGACACTGACGACAGAGAAAAGGATGAGATATGTAATTAGATTACACTTTGAAAAGCCTAAAGTTGGTGTTTAATCAAATATTAAAATACAATATATAAAAGAAGCAAATAAATAGGGGCTGCGTCTTCCTTTTCACAAACAGTGTTTTATTAAAAAAAAGACGTGAAAAAGACGTGAACGTGAAGGTCTACACAAAAAAGAAAATTACAATAATAAGCGACAAACATGATGATCCTATGTAAACTCAGACTTAGAATGTATATTTTTGTGCGGAGCGATCCTGTTGAGGCATACTATCGTTGGCTCATATCAGTTATCGATGGCGCAGCGATTAGAAAAATGTTGGCAGCTATGAAAATCATATGTTTAATATTATTATTTGTTTAATCTTTATAACTTCTTAATATAATAATATTATTTTGTTATTATGTCTGTTACTTGAATGAATAAAATGTTTAAAGAAAGATTTAAATATTACAAAAGAAAATCTCCTGTGCCTGACTTTAGTTCTGTTATAGATCTAGATAATAATGTTTTCGTTTCGCAGGTGCGTAAATCTAGTTTAGACAAAAACGTTGTTCTTATACCATGTCAGAAAGCTTTTATTTAATGTTTTTAGGCTCACCAAATAGAATTAAACTACAAATCGGATGTTGAAAAGCCGCCCTTAGGTCTGGAACCGCCGAAAAAATGGCTTTGCTATGCGCTTAATTCTTCTGGGGTTATTATTATCCGTAATCCTTTCACTGCGCGAGGTCAACGTTATTGGATAAGTCGCTGTTTACGAGATTATCCACGAGGTCCAAATGTTAATAACCTAAGTCCACACTTATTTCCCACAGAAGTACTAGACAATTGGTGGCAATGTTTGCAGAAATGCAGCGATAAAGATGAAGTGCGCCGATTGGGTATTTCCTTGCGTTGGGCTACGCTGGGCTACCACCACGATTGGGATTCTAAAAAGTACTCGGAAGAACGTCGTGGAAATTTTCCTGAAGATCTTGCCTCTATAAGCACATACTTTGCATCCATATTAGGTTATAAAAATTATGACGCGCAGGCAGCGATTGTAAACTTCTATCCCATTGGCACAACACTGTCCGCACATACTGATCATTCGGAACCTAATAGAATGGCACCTTTGTTTTCGTTTAGGTAATAAATGGGTATTTTATTTAATAAATGATAAATTTAAAAATTAATTACTCCTAATAGTTTCGGACAGACTGCAATTTTTTTAATTGGTGGAAGAACAAGAGAAGATTTACCATTGGCAGTTTATTTACGCAGCGGTGATGTACTTGTTATGTCCGGTGAATCGCGTTTATGCTATCATGCTGTACCACGTGTAATGAAAACCCTTGATGAGCCATGGAATGATCCAATACCTTTAGAAGGTGTAGCATCCATAGAATCGCCCAGATGTAAGAAGGCAAGAATCGAGCCTCCGACTGCCGAGCCAGATGAAGAAAATGGCTTTGACACTTTGTTATATCTGAAAGTTGTTGACGAAGCATTCTGGTCACCTTTTAAAATCTTTCTGAATAATGCGCGGATAAATATAAATGTGCGGCAAGTATTAAACGCCGGCGAAAGCAGCCTACCAACCTCGGAGCAAGAAGAGTTAAAAAATTAACTGAAAGTATTTGGTATTTTCGTTATTTATTTAATTATTATTACAAATATGTTAATTTTTTTGTATCATGTTTTAAGACATATGTATATTTATACATAAGTACAGACAAACAACTGAACATTTATTTGTTTAGAGTGAATTGATTATAATAACTTTGGTTTACTTTATTTCGATCAGGTGTAATTTCTATAGTTCTCATATGTTAATTAAATATTAAGATTTCAAACCAAATTTTTTTTAAGTGCTTAAAAAAAGGCAATTCAAAACAGATGTTTACTGAAACGTTAAAGTGGTTGGAAGATATACTGATAAAAGATTCTTCAAAAACCTTTCAAATTCAGTGAAGCCCTCTTCGGTTGAAAGTAACATCCCTTAACAAACCTACTTAGTTTCCGTTCTTCCACAATTCTGAAACAGCTATGACGACTGAAGACATTATCATCAACCTTAATTTAATAAAAATTAGCTTTTATTTTTCATTCGCGAATATTCTAAACCGATAGATACAAAGTAAAAAATATCTACAACCCCATATGAGCGACAATTATTGTAGATATATTTGTATTCAACCAGATGCCTGAGATTAGAAAAAGGACATATTTGATCAATTGCAAATCATAGGTAAATCATACGGTTTTGTTTGAGGCTTATGGAAAACTTGAAACGATGACGTGCTCATTAAGTACGGCCGAGACAGGTGAAGACTATGTGTCGGTACAAGATGACACAGGCTCAGAAAATCGTATAGATTCACACCAAAAACCAATGGCCACAAAAAGTAATGTATTTTCGTTACCGGAATATTTTGCTTTGAATGCTATTAAATATAAAATGAGTATGAGCTAAGGAAACATATCCGATTGAGATCTTACCTGTGATATTATTGATTTGCTATTACTATTACCTGCCATTATTACAAATTGATTGGTAAAATCGTTCTATTAACGACCAGAAATCTATGTGAATATTATTTTTTCTTGTATAATATAATACTTCTACGTACTGTTTTCGGATTATAAATATAATAATCCATTTACTTATCGATATGATTTGCTGTAATTGATTTGTGGACAAATACTGATCGAGAGTCTACAAAAATATAAATGACATTAAATAAGTATGCACGGAAAATTGAAGCTCATACAAAAAAATTTTAATTTTAATTTGTCAAGCAAACAAAAAAGTCAACGATTGGACGTCTATCGCATACCTTATAAAAGTGCATGATCAGCAATCACCTCTATGCTTGGGATTTTAAACTGTGACCGGTGTTTGTATCGTTCTTCTTGACATCAAGAACAGGGCAGTGGCACCAACTCAATAAAGGCCCAAAGCTGCTATTAAATCGTAATACGTTAAACTTTTGCAGTGGTCAACAAAAATGGAGTTTCTCTTCCGGAACACATTTCATATAGTGAAACTGTTTTTTTATTTGCGAGTCTCAAGTAACGAATAGTCTGTTAACGTTCCAAGTAGGAGGTAATTAAATTTACACTCGCAAATGTACGTGTTTGCCCAGAAGCAGGACTACACCTTATCACACTTACTTAGAACTTATTCAGAGAAAAATCCGGAATATATGTATGTTTGATGTAAGGAAATAAACTATAATTCAGAATCAAATTAAGTCCGAATGGGTTCAAGAATTTACTCCAACAGTTCTCGGTACAGTTGGTTCTTTATACAGGAACGACCAGGATTTTTATTCGCCCAAGGACCGTCTCTTCCGCAAAATTTCATAAAAAAATTACTTGGAGAATATTTTTGCAGTTACAACAACAAAAGCAGAGCACGTCTAGTCCTCAAAGTGTATTTCTGACATGAAACAAGAGCACCTCATAAACCGGCACCGGTTGGAAGCGCCTTAGAATAAGCAGTGGTTCCTCCATTTTCATTGCCATTGCTTCAGAAGGCATTGCTACTGAAAGGGTGAGCTGCAAAACGTCAGTTGCAAAGTAGCCATATGTAGATTCAACCGTGCAATTTTTCACAATGTATCATGTTCCAAAATGTATCAGTAAAGCTGTTGATGTGCTAACAAAAGCAAGCTGTGCATCGTTAAGGTTTGTGATGCTTTATTTTATCATAAATTCTTAGCAAGAACGGCAGACGTCGGAGGGCAAGGAAAATTTATAGAATGCAGGGTTACATTGTAATAATGCTGTTTCGCAACCGCATCAACTGCTTTTAAGTATTTTCCTAATTATTTTAATAAAATTGGAAATGTTATGGCAATCCTAATTCTCTAATTGTATTAAAAATTTATTGTAATTCAGCAATGATGGATTTTTGAATGCTTTATAGCCGTTCAACGATGAAGGTAGTAGTTCCCTAATGTAATGATTATTTAGTTATAAATTTCTTTGCAACAATTTGTCTTTTAAATTTTAGATTTTCAGGAAGAGCTTTATTTTCTCCTATTAAAGGCGGTTAATATTCCATTTTGTGCATCGCCGTCGCTTCCGAAGCTGAAGAATGCTTTATCGTCATTGTGATCTTTGCGGCTCCTTTGGTCGCCACTGTTTTCTAGTAAATTATAAAAATCCAAAATCAGCTTGCGTTGTACAAGGAATACTAATATTATATATTCTTATTCAAATTAGCGGTTTTTTTATACTTGCTTGTTTTGGCTGGCTGAAGTTTTCGAAGCACTAATGTTAGTTTTATGTTATTTAAGTTACCTACCTGCTTTTAGCTCACGAACGGTAAAGCGTGATATGTAGTTGCACTTTAATGTAAACTCTATTTTATTTTTAAAATGGCAACGTCATAGGCAGGTATTTTTACCTGGCCGAAAGGACAAAGAATGACAGGTCAAACAGTTAAGTTTAAAAGTAAATCAGCTGCCATTCCAGGACCTTAATTCGGTGAAAATTTGGGATCCAATTATTAAAACAAAAATCAAAGTAATTATCTATTGCTATCAAAAGTAAAAACGCGGAAAGTTTGACAAATGAGTCGATATCATAATGAAAACCTAATCGATTTAAGCATGGAAGATGAAATGCAATTGTTTCTAACGGAGGCTGGGACAAAACCAGATACTACAATCTTAGAGCGGGCAATGAATTGCCCCATGGATTGCCCATTGCCCAAGGGTGAATCGGTTGGGACTGACTTTGATGGTATTGATAACAATCCATTTGACTTAGTACAAAAACTAGCAACTCGTCCAGCAGACCCATTTGATATAGTTGAAAAAGAAGCATATACAGAGGTTAGTAGAAAAATTCATATATAAATACAGTGAGTTATTTGAAATAACGTAAGAGTGTCCTTTGACAGGCTAGTCATCCTATGCAAACACCTAAAGAAGTCAAAGAAGGAAAACTTTTATCCCTGAGCGATGATAATATTATAGATGATGATTCTGATTGTCAAGCGAAAGATAAAAATCCGACTGAAATATGTGATCGAAAAGGTTTTGATGCAACTACGTCCAACTGCAGTTCATCTGTTTATCAAACGGCGTTGTTTCATGATATTGAAAGTGAGAGTCCTCCAGTTTCTATGTCTATAAAATCCACTCCAGATTCTTGTAGCTCAGCCATAGATAGTGATGAATATTCGGCGAATAGCGCCGAAGGTTATTCAGCTAAAATTCGAAAGGCATTGGAAAATCGTAAGCGACTGCTTAAACTAAGTATTGCTAATTCTACATTTAATTCGCCTCTAAATTGTCGGCCACGTCAGTGGGACAGTGGCTTTTCTGCAGCTTTTTCAGCTGCAGCTCATTTTAGTGATTATATACTTGCCACAGAGTCGCCATTAAAATTAGTTGATGATGATCTTATAACAGAAGAAGCAAAGAAACTGACAGAAGCAGAGAATGATTTCGAAGCTGACTTGCAAATGTTAAGCATTCCTATGTTAAGGGAATTACCCTCAATAGTGCCTGAAGAGACTTCGATAGCATCAAAAGAAGCAAACGCTGTAATATCAAGTCAACAAAATGTGACACCGCCTGATATTAATGCGATTCGCGAAAAATTGCGTGAAAAGCGAATGAATACTTGCAAAGAACAAGATGTTGTATCGTTAATAGATAATCTAAAATCATTGATGTGCGATAATGATATTGTTGATGACAATAAAAAGACCCAAGCAAACTGTTTATTAAAGAAACTTAGTGCGGCTTTAAATACAAAACAAATAGAGGATAGTGAGACCAGTATAAAGAAAGTCAACGAAGAGAAAATCGCAACCTCCACACACGGTGCGCAAACCATTAAACGACAAGGAACCTTTGATATGGAACTACAAGTATGGAAAACACTTATTTATAACATAAATACCTACATACATGTTGCTTATATACTTATCTTCTCTTTGATTTTATAGTCCAAAATTAACACCGACTGTGATAAGCCTGAAATCATCCAAACGACAGTTGCTGATTCCTCTCATTTGACGCATTCTTTGCAATCTACACAATCGCTATCACCTCCTAAGGAAATTCCAGAAAGTATGATACAATCGCTCTCGCCACCGAAGGATATTCCAGAAACTATGATAAAATCTTCCGCTACGTATGACGGCGAACCTATTACGGAAAGGGAGAATTTGCTTTTACCTCATGTAGACACTTTTTCACCAAATGTTTCCCCTACTAAACAAAATTCTGCCGCCACAAATCCTGAACTAAATAATATTATTGAACAAATTAGTAAACTACTAGAGCAACATCAAGTTGCTACTCAAACAGCTAATGCCGGGAGTGGTAATAACAGTAACTCTACAGGAAACAATGCACAGCAATCCACGATGTGCAATCCGACATTTATTGTTGTGGTGCCATCCAACTCTGTACAATCTAATAATGCTCACAATGTAGATATCCCGAGTTGTAATGACGCTAATAATGATATAAATGATGTAATGCCACGACGACGTTCGCAATCGTTATCAATTCATGATAAGGTAAAGATTGTACAACTGCCTCTAAGACCTCAAGCGAGACAAAAAGTTACAGAAGAAGATCTGTTACAAATCGTCGATCGATCATCTCAATTCAATTCATCTACTTCGGAAATCAAAACACCAGTACGTACCACACTGCGAAGAAATTCATTTTCCAGTGGCACGCCAAATACGCCACTGACATCTTTGAATCACGGCGCCGGTGTAGCATTTACAAGAAAAATACAGAAGTAGGTTTGAAATCATAAATTTGCATATTTTATTAATTGCTTTTCTTTAGTGCATCAGTTCAATCCCGATACTCGCTCGGTACTTCCAAATTACAAGATCGTGATGCTCATCAACAGGCTGTAGTTCATCCTATAACGCGTTCGAATCTGAACGTATTCAAACCTGACTTAAAGAAAAAATCCAAACAACAAACTGCGAAAACGTCTATTATGGCATCTAATGGTCCACTGAAAGCTGTGATTCCCATAAAAAAAGTAGCCCCCATGTTAACAGTCGCAATGGCTACCCCTGAAAGATCCTCAGCGAGTTCCCGAATACAATTCCAAAAGGTCAGCATGGAAACCTCAATGCATTTACTTACAACAGCCGGCAAAATATCCCATACAAGTACACCTATGCCAACTGCGCGTAATAGTGATCAAATACCAGACTTCCCGAATGCGTGTTCCACGCCATCAATAAGTGGAGCTATCAAAAGACCCGATGGCACTGTAACAAAAAAACACCCACGTTTTTCAATTTCTACACCGACATTTAAAACACAACAGGCCTTTACTAATAATTCTGGACTAAAAACTCGTGCGAAACCGGTACCGGCCAAACCGAAGTCCCCGGTCCGCCTGCGCAACAGTTTGGGTGGAATGACAGCACCAGCACCAGTAATAAAGGGAAGGCAGCCATTAGTAAAAGAACAGAATGTGCCAAAACAAACAACGTCGCGATTGGTAAGTTCAGAATATTAAAAAAAGGCATACTCATGAATTTCCCTTATTTTCCTTGTAGAGCACACGGTTAAGTACTAGATCATCCATCTGCACTGGATTTTCTACAAATAAGGAGAATAAAAAGCCATAAATTTTTATAAATTAGTTACTTCATATTTTTAAGCTTTTATTAGATTGTTGTTTATGAAACGTTTCGAACAATAAATAGTCCATTGTATTTTTGTACTTGTTAATTTTAATGTATTTATATTTATTACAGTTTTTTTTTATTTAATGCTATTAATTTTTACAAATATAATAATATATAATAATTACAAATTTTATACTAACCCTTCTATCCGCCCATTTAAATAAATTTTTAAGGTCACGTTAATGAAAATCTTTGAATAGTTTTTAACATTTCATTATAATTTTACTTTTAAAAGTTCCTTAGATCGCTGAAACGGTGAAAGCTCTTCTTCTCTAACCGACTATTAGCCCCATTTAAGAGCGAGAGTTGGTCGAAGCGTAAAAAAGATGTGGATATCCTGCAAGAACCGTCTGATGGGTTAACCAATAAATACCCACGATTTCGGGCAGCACTAACACATATGCACATTCTTCTGCTTATCTTTCTCTTCTGAGTGCACACAAATTGAAGAAGAACGCAGTTGAACGAATTATCCGATTTTCTTTGTTCTTATTTTCGAGTAGAACGCCATCTAAATCGTTTTCTCCGCAGCAGATAAGAGTGGAAATTGATGATGATTCTTCGTTGCGTTTTACGTTTTTTAATTTAAGGGCAGCCCATATTGTACGCAAAATTCAGCTGATGGAGCATGTTGACTGGAATGGACGCATCTTACCTTGCAGTAGAAAAAAACTTCACGAGGCACTACTTCATTAGGATATTAATAACATTCTGATTCGAGCATTCATTTTTTATTTTACTAAGAAGTCTTTAAACTTCAAAGGAGTTGCGATTATAGCGTAGGCGCTCGTAGAGCTGAGTAGCTGCATCACAAACGCATGACATACTGTTTTACTTACAATATTTTGCTGATTTTTGAAAACGAAATTATTGTTATATATGTCGATATGTAGGAAAAACTTTAACGCTGTCGCTCAGCTGTATTCTGACGAAAATGCAGTAGGAAGCGAAGAGAGAATCACGTACACGTATACAATTGTAATCATCACATTTGTTGTTTCGTCCTTAAGAAAGCGATGGGAAAGCCGTTCTACGAGCTGACGGTATATGACATCATGTATTCCTGACGTATGTTGGCTCAATTCCGAACATTTGACCTTCTTGCAGGATGGAGTTGAATTTTTTGTATTTGAAAATTGGTGATTGTAATGATTGTCAACTGTAAATGAGTTTATTTTTCGCACGTGGGACCTAAACATTATTTTAATTAATCCCTTGTTAATATATTTTTTCGAGAATTTTTAGTTTAGAAGTATAATATAAGCGTTCGAACTTTTTACCAATAAATTTAATTTTTTGGGAAACGTAACAATTCTAACTTTTTCTTAACTTTTAACTTTTCTAACTTTTTTAACTCATCGCAGATCAATAAAATACTTCACATCCATTAGCTATGCACTTTTATAAAGCCAATGGTGCCAAACTTATCTGCAGAGTCCTGCATTATATTATAATATTTCAATAATTGCAACCCCGCTTAATCAATCATGCGGGTCTCTCGAGGCAGCTCGAGCTCGTTGTCTGCTATAGGTGGTGGTATTTCTCCGAGTACGCCATTCACTGGAAGGGAGTCCTTGAGGGTGTTGACTGACTCCTGGTGAATGGCGGTCAGTGCTTGTCGGTACGCCGTCCTGTCCAGCTGTTGTTGTACGTGTTGCTGGATTGTGTCTTTTAGGTCTGGTACTCCCTTTTTGATGTGCCTATGTGGAGGTTCAGCCTCTATTAGGTGCCTACTGGGGTGCTCCTTGCGGTAGCATCCTAACAGGAGCTGCTTGCACAGCAAAGCATTATGCTCCTTAACTCGTAGCATAGATGCTTCCCAGTGCAAGTGATGCTCCGGCGACATCAGAAGGTTTCCCGTCGCAGTCCTGAGGGCGGTGATCTGGCAAGCCTGTAACATCTTCATCAGCGTCTCGTTCGTCCCCGGCGCCCAGATTGGTGCAGCATAGTTTACGCTCGGTCGACCAATGGCTTTATAAGTAACCAGCAAAGTTGCTTTGTCTTTACCCCAGGTGCTGTCGGCTAGCGCTTTGAGTATTTTGTTGCGGAGTAAAGGAGTGCAGGGTGTCTAGGGTTACTCCCAATATTTTTTGGGTTATTTACCGTCGGAATTTTTGTGTGATCGACCTTCACATCTAGTTCAAGCCTGTACTCCTTCGTCCAGTTGGTGAAGAGGGTAGCCGAGGATTTTGTCGGTTGAATTTGTAGCTGTCTTGCAGTGAAGAAATGGGAGAGATCAGCGAGGTAACCGTTCACTTTCGAACAGAGGTCACCAATATCCTGGCCAGACGCCATTATCGTACAATCATCGGGATAAGAGGTTAGAGAAACTCCTTCTGGTGGTGGAGGGAGTTTCGAGATATAAAAGTTAAACAGTAGCGGGGAGAGGACATCACCCTGCGGAACCCCCTGTTTAATTTTCCTGGGTTTAGATGTTACACCTCGGAATATTACCGATGATTGTCGACCACTCAGGTAGCCCATGACCTACCTCTGCAGCCCCGGCAATAATGAGGATTCCTCAATGTCCGTTAGTAGCACTGAGTGATTGACTGTGTCAAAAGCTTTTGACAAGTCCAGTGCTACTAGGACAGTTCGCGCGCAGGGTCGGTTTTGGATAAGGCCATGGACTATCTGGGTGTTTATGGCGTTAAGTGCTGTTGTGGTGCAGTGCACTTTTCGGAAGCCATGCTGATGGGCTGCTGGACGCAGATGGTGAGTGAAGGTCGGGAGCAGTAAGGCCTCAAGTGTCTTCGCTACTGGGGAGAGGAGAGTTATCGGCCGATAGGACTCTCCTTTGTTGGCTGGTTTCCCCGTTTAAGTAGCGGGACCACCCTACCCATTTTCCACACATCGGGTATCTTCAGGGTGGTCAGAGACAAATTGAGGACCCTTGTGAGAAATTCTGCTCCCGCTGGTCCAAGGTGTGTCAGCATCAGTATGCTTATTCCGTTGGGGCCGATGGATTTGGAGGCTTTCGCCTTCCCGATAACTCCCTGAACCTCCTCCCCGGAGAAATCAAGCACCTCGCTGGTGTTTGGCAGTTTGCGCATACGGCGGGTTACACGTCGTTTCGCTTTGTCTACCGAGGGATGCAGTGTAAAAAGCCGGCTAAAATAGCTCGCGCATCTCTTCGGGTCCGACGAGGCGCGATCACCGAATGAAATTTTCACCCGGTCATCGCGTCTCGTCGTGTTAGACAGCGACTTGACTGTAGCCCAGAGCTTGGTTGCCCCAGAGGAGAGGTTGCAGGTCCTTAGGTGCTCCTCCCACTTTTTCTGCTTGTGATTGTCTACTACTCTCCGAATCACCGCGCTTAAATCCCTGATTAGGGGATTCCCGGGATCGGAGCTTCAGAGGGTGTCGCACCTGGATGCTAATACCGCCGCTTCTGTCGGAAAATTTGGGCGGATTTCCGCAATTCGGCCTGCCGGGATGAAGCGGGCGGCAGCAGACAGGTCGACCCTGCGGAATAAACGTTCACCAGCGGTGACGTCTGATGGAGTGAGAAGAGTCCTGAAGGCGTTCTCAGTAAATTCCGTGAATCCGTGCCAGTAAGTTTTTTTTAAGTTAACAAATGTCCGGTGGACCGCGGAAAAAAAGTCGGGAACCTGTCAATCGAGATTTGTATGGGTTATGTGTATGTTTATCAAACCAGCACTCGCAATTGTTATATCCGGCGAGCTTTGGCAATTACCCATAACTCTGGTGGGGTGTTATCGTTCATTGTGCAGAATATCGAATCGTCTACCTGCTCTGCCAACTGCATTCCTTTACGGTCATTTGACAGGCTAGAATGCCAAAGATCGTGATGCGCGCTGAAGTCGCCCCTAAACCAAAGGGTTTTCGCCTTTGAGTAGCGCACCTATATCAGGGCTATATCCAACTGGGCAATTTCTAACAGAAGGAATATATATATTAAATATCTCGAGCTCGGCATTGCCTGACCGGATAGGCATGTCCTGACATTCTAGGGTAGTATCCCTGCGGCCGATGCCGCCGTCGATAAGACGATGTTGTGTAGGATGACCGCCATGACTTCGTTCACGATGTTTGCGTTGTTTCTGGTTCGGCTCAGAAGATCTGATCGGGCAGTCATCATCGTTTGCTGGATCGCAGCAATTGACAGGTGCTCCCGACTCTTGTAGTCGACTATCTCATCTATAGTGGGAGTCATGCTGCGGGAAGCTCCATGAGGCCGCAGGTGTCTGTTGGTTACCCAAAGCAGGCCTTAAGATGACTCCAACCATTGAAGTGTTGGAGTCTTTTCTGGCACACGCAGCAGAAATAATCCGCGGACCAGGGTTGGTTTCAGCGTCAGCCATGATAAGAAGGATTTGGAGTGGCCCAGATCTGAGGTGTTGTTCCGTTGACGAGCTTAAATTAATTTTTCCTGTTGACCTAAACGGGGTTAGGTCGCCGAAAGGGTGACAGTTCTTGGCCGGATAAAATCCGGGTCAACTCTGGTGCGTCTTGAGTGAACTGTGGTTCTATATTTATTCGCTGCTGAATCAAATGAGAAAGAATGACAACGAATTCTTCTTCAACGCAGATGAGTTCTACACCAGGGCAAACTCCCAATTCGTTTGGCTAGGCCTCCTACTCTTTCAATCCAAACTTCTTCACAGGCAAGACTTCGAATTCATCCCAATGGGGTTCAACTTCGTGTCTTCGTGACGGAACGATTTACGCTCTGCATTAGGGCCTCCCCCAGCCGTGTTTTTTGGCCTTGATATTTTGAACCACACTTATTTCTTTTGATCAGCCCACACTTAAAAGCAACTGCAACAACACTTGACTCGTTGTTTTTGACCTAAAGAAACCATCAACACGATATTTATGAAAAAAAAACTTTAATACGATTATTTGTGTTATACTTATTAGGTACTTATATTTTAAATAAAAACTCTCACACAACTTCCACGTGAAAAAATTCTCGCGCACTATTGAAGTAATCCGATTTTTTTTGCATTGGTGATGTAAACTTTTTGCACTCTGAATTCTTCCCCCATTTTCAAAGTTTGTTTAGAAGATGAGGAAAGGGAAACGTGAG